TTTGAAATAACAAAGAAAAGTTCGGACTCAGGAGCTAGTTTAAAGTTGTTCAGTATGGCACAAGAAGATTTAAAGATTCAAAAAGAAAAGTATCTTCGAGTTCGGTACCCAATGTTCCCACATAGTCTCCCACTGCGGTACTGATTGAGCGATACGAAGCTTGGGTCAGGCAGATCTGACGGGATACCCTATTTTCTTCGTTCTATGACCGAACACATCGGATTGACCGTTGGCCCAGTTTTGTCCTCTATTCCTGATACGAGTCTAGATCATTGATTGTACACACGTGTAACGGTGCCATTCTCACACAGTTTCCTTTGGCCGAGGTGGGCTAGCTTTAGCAAGCGATCCTATTAGGATTCTCCTAGATCTCCCAAATATACTACTAAGTATTTGTAAAGGAGCTTCGGCCCTAAGTACAATCTTTACGTCCGTAAATACTTCCCCCTGCAACACAAAACTCTATCCCAATCCCACGAAACCACTGACAGCGGAAATCTCATGACGGCAACCAAGCCCGGTACTGTGCCAGACCAACATCGTATGAAGAAGCGACGTCACCACCGACCAGCTGCTCAATGAGACAAGCCCTTCTGAGTCCCAACCAATGGCTATCCGTAACTCATCCCAAGTCTTCGGATGGCTGAGGCACAGAACTCTAACGTAACCCCAATACTTGTGCCGGGAGGTTTCATATCGGCATCTGATGCAATTCGCGTGACAACTGTTCTGAGTAGTGAGGTACTGTATCGCAACTATCAGCCCAAGACGGTGGGCGAAATTGCGGTGGAAGGTCTCATATCGGGAGAAGGTATATATAGCTTTGGTGATAAGGTTCGACCCAGTAACGTCTATCCCAGGTCGAATCGATCTTGTTACTCGATACACGACAAGATATTAGTGTTTAGTGAGGTAGGTACCATTGCAACAAAGCTTTTTCTGAAGATATCCATGTACTGTGCATATCTTCAGATAAGAGCTCTCTTTTAGTTGCCATCTTGAGATGTTGGGTACTGATCTCTGTCTCGCTGGGAAATGATATCATGACGTCGCTGAACATTAGAGTTTAATGAGCACCTCTTTCTCTATCTCTGCATGCCGAATATGTATACTGGAGCCTCAAACGAGCCGCTTTGAAGCGAGAGAGACATCGCCATCTCGGCTGGGAGATTAGAAGTTATGATATAAGATCACGTGTTGCAATCAAATCAAACGTTAACACTATGTACTCTACATGTATATACCTTCGTACTATTCGTGCTCTATCCTATCACATCATCATTATCATCACAGAGGAGATCTGCGCTGTCAAATCAAACTCAAGCTCTAATCAGCCTTTGACACCTCTGACGTGAGCCACCTAGCTTACGTGCGAACCAAGCTTTCCGCACCCGCACCCGCAGGTGCACACTCGCACAATGAAACACTCAACGTCCATTTCTCTTCTCCCCCTTTGCAACGGCATGTGACGCTAAAATTCATCCTCGGTCTAATCATCCTCCATGACTCCTCCCCTTACATTGAAGTCATCACAGCTCTGAGACTTTGGCCCTTCTGCACAACCGTTCTGTGCTCAAGACACTCCCATACAGTAATGATCACGGATAAGACACACCACCCGGCCCCACATTTCCGCCTCGACGTGCTACTCCCAAAGCAATCATCACGCCCATGAGGGCACAAGAAACGAAACATCGCTCAGCCCGCCAAGACACTGTGTCAGGCGACTGACTACATATATCGGCATTCTTTGCGTGTGCTCCGAGACATTGATAGAGACAGAAAGTGCCCCACATTATCATCTCTTCCCACGTCTCTCGTTAGGTATTTCCGCTTGCGTGAAGGAAGATCATGGGTCAGGCAATGCAAGGGTCGAATTGGAAGTGATTCGGAGTGGGGCAACCTTGCTGAGGTCTGTGTCAGTCAATTATCGTATGTCATGATTGAGATCCTGAAGAAAAATGCAGACTATTGACTATTGAAGCAGAAAGGGGATATCAAAGCTTAAACCAAGCTTACTGCAGGCGGCACGAACTGTGCCCACTGAAACCGAATCATTGGACAAACTCCACTCTAATCTGAGCTGATGGCATCACAAGGCATGCACCGACGGACGACCATGCCCTCCCCAACAAAAATACGAACAACTACCTACTGTATAGAGACTGTTCCAAGCCGCAGTTTACCAAAACGGAATCCACATGTAGGTATTACGAGTCAAACAACCCAGAGAAACGACCGGATTGCGGGATCAAGCTAGCGGTATCAGTATGGTTGGGTGCGACATTCAAGTCAACGTCCTCTCTTACCAAATTCGAAGGAAGAGAGGGGGGGGCGTATCACATACATCTGTATCAAAGCTTAACGCTGCAGACGAAACTCAAGGAAATACTAAACACCGTTGAAACCAACATAGCGAACCAATGACCACTCATGAACGCTTTGGGAAACGGTGCCAAATATTGCTCAGGGCACATATCAACGTTAATTATCCGCCCCCGCCGCCAAATCGCCCCTTGCAGATAGAGATGATCGCTCGTGCAACACCCAAGTTTCGAGTGAGAATGTCTTACACAGCAAGATAGTAAAGAGCTGTCACGCTGCGCTGCGGGAGGACCGCTGAATGGAACCTGCTTGATGCAATACTGAGATAGGCGGTCATGCATGTTCAAACAAGACATATCCTTCACAACTATCAAGTTGATCAATGCACAAACAAATCTAAACCAAGACATGGAAATGCTGACGCACAGCAGAGAGGATTCTGAAGGCTGATAATGAATGAGGCATAGATCGGCTTCACTAACAACCGACTCCCCGAAATGACTCGAGGGGTATCGGTAGATTAAAGTTTTTTACCCCATGCAGATATTGTATTGATAATCTTGCATGCTGTTGTATGCAGTGAGGAGACATTCGGGGGGGGGGGGGGTCAACGACATATTGTCACGCTGGGGAGGAACATGGTATTTGCGCACAGCTAGTGGGGAAATGCCTGCTGACTCAATTAACAATCAACTTACCAACATGAACTCAGTCTTGGAGAACTTTGAGGAGCACCCAGCGTATCAGTACAGGAGACAATCGTCCAATTGGAAGAAGGTGCCCGTCTCATGTTGCACTGTCACGATGGGTGAGGCATTTGATCCACTACCGAAATTAATTGTAGTGTCATCTCATGCCGTATGAGGCGTGGGTTTAGTAGTTAAATTCGATTATCATGTTTACTAACAGCACAAGAACAATAGTTTCAACCAACAAATCATCAATGAGCGGACATGACTATGAATCAATCTATACTAGCTGCAGAGCTAGTTGGGGAATACACTGAATGATTAGGGTTATCTCCAAATATAGGTGTGCCATGTATGGATGCTTAATCTCAACCAATTTGGGCTACCGATTATGTTGCAGTACAAATATCTCAAAGATTGTTATATATCTTGAAGCAGTTGTACTGTTACTTACAAATGTCACGCTCACCAGAGACAAGTGTATGCACCAACAAGGTCTCTGATTGGCTGCAACGCCGCCACAAAGGTCCCACCCGCGCCCGAATAAGGCGCAGATTAGTTAATATCCGACCGCGTCCATCTTGGTGTTGTACTCTACTGTATCTTCTCCACAACCGGCAAACAAAACATTTCGTGTAGCTGAGGCGTTGTATGTACTCCAACTCTTGCTCGTCCGAAATGAGCATTAATTGCAAGCTAGGTAGAGGCGTATGTACGTCCTGTTATGCTTCCACCGGCCGCACCCCAATCAAACACCCTCCCGGAGAGAGAAAAAGTCATCACCGGTACGGTGGATAGGTGGGCAGGTAGCTGTCAAACGTCACGTCAAATCAGAGGAGAAACGTTAGACCCTAGCTAGCGCCCCGAAAAGAAATGTCTGGGGTAATTATAACTCGGGCTTGGCACAACTCCATCCTGCGTTATACGCACCCTGGTGCACTGTTCATACCAATGTTTTGCAACACATCCTATCACTCCGGAATGAATCCGGATCAACATCAAAAACCAAACATGATCGACTGCCAACCGCGGTATCGGAGATGGGAATAGTTAGATAGGCGCCATATAACTGATTTGAAATAAGTTTTGTGTGGATTTAGCTAGCTACGTTGTCGTAGCTGGCTGGTTCAATCATCACGATCAAAAAAGACAATAATTTAAACGCGTACCCACTAGTCTTCACGCCTGTGTAAGGCGTAGAAAGACAAAATAACCTTCTATTTCCCCGATCGACGTTATATACGTACCGCCCAAAAAGTTCAAATAAAAAAGGGTTAATAAGCGCCACACACAGATCGACCATTTCTGTCACGCTCCACACACGACCGAAACATCACGCATGCCTACAGCCAATGAGCACTGGGAGGGCGATCTGCTCCACTAACAACCCCTACGACTCAGCCCCCCCGATGCAATGCCATTGACGCGACTCTGGGGAATTGCATGGCGTTTCTCTCTCGCTCGCTTTCTTTCCCCTCGGGTTGTTTTGTTTTGCTCAATTAATTTATTGCAATTTTGGCAAACCCCTACCCACCTACCCGTGCGCTAGGTATTTTTTGACACAATTGCAATTGCGCTTCTACATACATGCCAGCTAGCTAGCCATGTTGTGATTGCGATTGCCATTGCCGATTCAGTGAAGTGATCATGACTCTGTTTTATGTATGTACTTGTTTATACTCGGCCTGACGCAATTCGTCGGCTCATTCAGCTGGCTGGCTGCTATCGATGTTTATCCCCCCATCATATCCTCATGATCATGAGTGCGGCGCCCCCACCCCCGCCCCGTCCCATTAAATCTATCTCCGAAACGGCGCTATCGAAAAAATATTTCTCATTAAGGGTGTTTTGTATTGTAGGCAGACACAGAAAAAAGTATGTACCCACGCCACGGCGCCGTCGCCTTACACTACTACCCTACAATGTAGAAGGCCGCAAGCTGGATAGCCAATCACACGGCGCCCAGCATGCAGTGCATCAGCACGACTAAACAGAACTCAAAATACTTCTGAAAAGAGAGAGTGAAATTAAAGACAGTAAAATGCTAAACCAAACACCCCCCCCCCAAGATCGACTGCCTCCCAAAACTGCTACAGTTACAGGACCCTTCTCAGCTAGCTCGGGGCGTCTATCGAGGGTTCGGCCGGGTCCAGGTACAGACATACATACCATACATACATTGTTCTGCTAAGTCAGCGCCTAACGAAACTTCCTCCAAATTGATTATGCATATGTACCCTATGAATTTCAATATAATTATAATTAATATTATATCGCATTGTATCGTGTGTCTACATCCCAATAAACACATATGTATGTACCTACCTACCTGACTGCGCCCCCCACCAGCGAACAACATGTCATCGGAAACAATGTCTCTCTCGCAGTTGTATCGGGACTAGCACAACCCTAACCCTGAATGTATCCTGCGTTCACCGGCGCGGTGCGGCGGTGGTTTTTGCTTTGTTTACCGGTGCAATTGCGGGTTAGTCGTACCTGGGGGGTGCAATTGGAGGTTGTCTAAGACGGGGGGAAGAAGTAATGATGATTGAGTGAGCACGTTCAGATGTACGGTACAGGTACTATATAGTGATCTGTTTCCGAGCGCCCCCGGTCATCATGCTCATGGGGGGGGGGGGGGAGGTACGGGGTGCACGGTGGTGCGTAAGTAGAGTACGGGAGCGAAGAAGCGAGGGATAGCTCGGCTGTGAGATTGGGGGGGGGATCTAGATACGAGATGCAAGTGTAGATTGACAGGAGAGAGCGTCTGTTTACATTGCGTGCATAAATCGGGGGGGGGCAGAGCTAGAGAGGGAGGGAGGGAGGGAGCTTGGGGCATGGTTTGGTGTTTGCGCGCTGAGTGCGTATTTCGAGGGGAGTAAATTTGAGACGCACGCACCGAGAGTGAGAGTGTACCTGCATAGAGTGCTTTGAGAGGTGATGAGGTTGCTGGTGTTACCTTCCCTTTGTTTGGAGGAAGTACAGGGAGGGGGGATCAGGAAGAAACCATTCCCAGGTCCGCTGCTAGCTGCCAATGTCAAGCAAATTAATTTAGCTATCGTACGTCTGGGGTTCCCCCCAAATAGGGAACATGGCTATATATGGCAACTCGACACTTGCCCGTACGGGGACGTGTTTGAAGTTGCTTGTGATGTGATTGATGGGTTGGGGAGTAAATATACATACATACTTGCAGTCTATTTGGGGCATCTATCCATCCATAGAGCGACGATGTTGTGTGAGGGAAGAGATCGAACGGTAACGAGTCGGGTAGGCAGGCACTAGCTGGAGAGAGGATGCTGTACCTGCGTTAGGCGCCATGATGTGTGTGTATCTGTATCTGTCTGTGTCTGTACCTGCTTCAAGCCTGATGTCACGCCGGAGCGAGAACTGGAGATGTGAAATTTCGAAACGCCATCACGCCCGCCTGCGCACCGCATCTGGCTGGCTGGCTGGTCAAACCACCCTTATCGAGCACGTGACCAGATCTGGAAAAGGACACACAAAATGAAAAATGTGCAAAAGAACATCTAATTAGCACCAGAGGACAGCAGAGCATGTAGATGCATGCTGGGGATAAAATTCGCGATGCAATAATGGGCGCCACCCCTTGGAATACAATCATCGTCATTGTTACGTTTAGACAGTGGCTTCAGTTCATCCATCTCGTCGACTCGCTTGATGAGGATACGGAGTGAGTGCGCACTCGTTGTTCTTACATACAGAAATTTCATTCTGGGCGGCGCCGCGGCGGGCGCGCAATCTACAACAGAAGTAGTAGTAGGTATCTCTGCAGTACTACGGTGAGGGCCTCAGTCCTAGTAGTACTAGGTACTCTACGTAGTGAGGCGCAGCATCGCCAGGCTCGCCCGCCCCCCTCCATCTCGAGGGGAGTTCTCTGATTGACTGGCTTACTGCTTCTTCTTTTTCTTCTAGTGCTTCTCTAGCTTCCTGGTGCCGTTTCCTTTCCAGTGCGCAGAAGGACTAAGGAAGGAAGGAAAAGAAGAAAAGCAAAGAGCCTTGTTTTGCTGTGCATATCCCATCCACTCCTGAGTGCATCCTCCACACCCACTGCGCATCATCATCATCGGACAGACAGACCAGACAGCACACAACAGCGAGCAAGGCAGAAGACAGAAGAGGGAAACTTTTTTTGGTTTAGTCACCCCCCCCCAAGAGCGTAACTCGAGTAGTCGAACAGCTATTGTTTCACCTGTCGCCATCAGCCGCCCCTCTGCCTGCAGCAAGTACATACATGTAGGTATTAAAAGCCTGCCCCATCCCCCATCCCAAAATTAATTCAACCAGTCAATCCAGTACAATACAGTCAAGTTAATTAATTACACCTAAATCCTCATCCACCACAAACAAATACTAAAAATCGATCGACTGGCTCGGTTACAGAAACAGCTTCCTCCCCCAGCCCAGGTCACTCGTATCAACCATACAATCCTTGGTTGTTTCGTCCCTTAATACTACTTAATCCCGGCCCCTAGCACTCTAACCATCCTGGTTTTTAAATTTTTTCATCACTCAGCGATAACTACTACTACTACTACTACTGCTGCTGCTGCTGCTGCTCACCGAACAGTGGAAAAAAGTCTTATATATCATCTACCTCCAGCCGAAGTTTGAAAGGCCATCTTGACGGTCAATCTATAATTCTCGGGCAGGTCCACTAGTTTACTACCACTACTACTACTACATCACACCACAACAACCAGGTTGATCCTGCACACAAAATAACTGACCTAATAATCATTACCACCCAACAACCAAAAATGTCCGCCTCAACTACCACCACCCCCAACACCACCACTACTACCACCACCAGCACCCCCCTTCACCACCCGCCTCCCCTGCTCGCAAGCAAAGGCCTACACTAACCCTCAACCCCACAACTCGACCATCCTACAACATCTACGACTCACCCGACTCTGTCAAATCCTGCTTTTCACCTTGCTCCTCCGAGTCCGGGTCCGAGTCCGAGTCCGAGTCAGAAGCACCAGTTCAAGGCCGCCCATGGGCGTCCCCAAACCCCCCTAGCCTGCCACCATCAGGCCCACCCCCAGCGGTCCCAAACCGCTTTCCATCATTCTCTAGCGCCTCATCCGGGACGTCAGGGTGTCGCCCTGTCTTCTCCCCAGGCCCAAACACGCCAGCTTTGCCACTATACGGGATGCCGAGTGCGCCGACCGCTCCCTCGACACCATACTCGCCATGGAGCACAGGATCGATGCCACCAAAAGTTGATGTAGCCTTGATGGGGCTGGAGTCGGGATTGACGGCTGTTCTGGGAGGACAGCCGCCAGAGGAGCTTGTTGTCGCAAGGAAGGAGAGGGACGTGTTGGTGGTGAGGGTACAGAAGGCGTACTACAAGAGGGAGGAGGTTGGTGTTCTCCAATGGGAGTTGACGAAGGCGGAGATGAGAGTGAAGACTTTGGAGCAGAGGTGGCTGTTGGCAGTCTTGAGCGGAGTGGAGGCTATGGTGGGGAACATCAGGGCGGGGATGGCACCACATGTACAGGAGCAGAGCGAGGAGGATGATGAGTGTGCGGTGGAGAGCGAGGATGAGGACGAGATCCTTGAGGTGTTCCAACACACAGTGATTGAGCCTGAGGTCCAGTCACCGGAAATCCCGGCGCACCTGGAGCGAAGGTTCATTTGGATTCGTTCCGCTTCAAGCTTCGACTCTGACTCTGACTCTGACGCCGGATACGACTCGGATTCCGAGTATGAGGATGATGGCTACGACTCTGACCGTCTCTCTGTTCCCGCGCTTCTTCACAGCCGCTCTGCATCTTCGTCGGAAGCCTCGTCGTCGCCCATCATTCCTGGTGTTAACGACTGGGCGCCATTCAGTGCTCCGGTTGACGGCAGCGAGGAGAAGAAGACGGCCGGTGCGTTGATCTTGAGAATTGCCGGGGTCGAGATGGAAATGATATAGGGCTCTTGGTTTGGTTTTCATGGTAGTGTAAGTATAGGTTGTATTAGCTAGTTTCTTGGGGCGTTTTTTCTTCTTCTTTTCTTTTTTCTTTTTTGGCTTAAGGCACACACACACTCTTTTGTTTTCCTTATCTCTTTACTGGTTCTCTTTTTCTTTTGTTTATTATATTGGCTGTTTTGTTTTATTTATCTGTTTTTCCTTCTTCTTTTATTCTATTGGCTAGGGTGGGGGCTTTCTGGTTTTTTGTTTTTTAAACGTGCCGCGGTGTTTGGAAATGGGACGGGGCGATATCGGGGGAATTGGGAATCGGGTTTTTATTTCTTTGTCTCATCATTGGGTTTTCTTTTTTCTTCTTCTTTTTCTCTTTTTTTTTCCCCTCTTATTTCTTTCTTCTCTTTTTTTTGGGGGGGTGGTTTGTTTCAATATCCTAGCATAGCATAGCATAGAATAGTGGTAGCAGGGCAACCTACTTAAATAGCTGAAGGGAAAGGGAAAGGAATTGGGGGGGGGGGGTAAACAAAAATATCAGGGATTTTTTCTTCTTCAAATAATTACTTTTTGCAAGCTATTCATTTCTACCGTGATTGTCCATAGTACTACTCTACTGCCGAACGGTGGAATGTCCTGGAAGGCCTGCCGGCCTTGTGCAAAGCCAGCCTTAGATTAATTCAGAGCTGGACCAAACATATATCTCTCCACCAACCCAACCCAACCAACCACCCACCAACCGGCCAATCCAAAATCACAAACTTATCTCCACCCCAACCATATCAGCCCTCCACCGAACATGCACACTCTCTCTCCACATGCAGTCATCTCCCCGCACTCGGTCGGTCTGCAAGTTCCCCATGTTCAGCCAGGGTTAGGGTTGCGTGGGGGGGAGGTGAGGTAAGGTGAGGTGAGGTGAGGTGGGTTAGTAAGCTGAGCGCACACCGGAGACACCCCTTTCCGACCGACGGCTTCCGACGGTGAATAGGTAGAGGATGTACCTGCAGATGGCGGGTCTGTGCGTGGGGGGAATGGAGATGGAGGGATGGCATGGGAGATGATGTGCGGGTAGGTAGGCGAGTAGTAGCGAGTAGCACTCTATTTTCTGTTGATGTATATTGGTGATTGCAATTGTGGAGTGTTTATTGGAGCGAGCGCGCGCGCGGTAGAGTAAATTAATTACATGAGATGACAGCGGGTGTTGCTATGCTATGGCCAGAGATTGGATTGGAGATTGTACATACATAGATGGCGATTGCAATATAGGGGATTGCCACAGCAGCGCATATATATATATTCCATAATAAACATCAACCACCACCACCACCACCACCACCACCACCACCACAATATCATGATCAGCGCGAAGCCATGAGGAGCGCTGAAGAAGAAGATGAAGAAGAAGAAGAAGACTCGAAAATGAAACATCCCGGATCAACCCATCCATTACGCAACCAGTCGAGACTGTTCTGGCCCGCCCTCTGCATCATCCCCCCCCCCCCCCCCTAGCTTGACGTCGCACACACAAGCACGGACCAGAGCGGAGCAGACGCGCGAAAATGTAACCACGGGCCTTTTTCATTTTTCATTTTGATTGACGGGGTCTGGACTGCGCATGTGGGGGATGCTAGCTAGCTAGGGGGGGGGGGGGGGCTGGACCGTCGACGGGCCCGGGGGGGGGCTAGATGGGTTCGGAGCGGTGATGTCGGCGTCTGGTTTCTTATTTTTCTATATGACGATGATGATATTCGGAGGTTGGGGGGATTGCGTCTTTTCAGCACCTGCCTCAAGTACCTATGCATGTGGGGAGATTTCCGTGTACTCTAATGGAGGTGGCCGCTTGATGTCACGCATCAGTCACGCTTTCACTAGGGATCTGCTTTGGGGGGCGGGGGGGTGGATTATCAGGGTCAATGGCATAAAAGTAAATCGCTATATTAGAAATTATGTACGAGTAACACTTGAGGATTATCGATATGTCACCGTGCAGGATTTTTTTTTTTTTTTTTTTTTTTTGTTTAATTCATTAACTGCATGCAACCTTACAGCTATGGCAATAACCCCTGAACTGCCCGCTCTCTTCCACCTCCTCTCACGTATATCTGACATAAGAAAAAACACAAAACACTAGAAATCATCCTTTTTGTCCTATTCCTCGTCTTCAGCGCTTTTCAGCGTTCCCCACCCGTACCCTAGTTCTCTCCTCTCTTCTTCCGCGCTTTCGTCTTGTCCGCCTCTCTCATGTCTCCATCTCGCGAACTGTTTCCATATTTTCGTAGCTGCTTCTTCACCGTGCAGGATCATTGATATGCTACGCACTTGAGTATTTCAGCTGGCGTTTAATTTCACAGCTCAAGCATATAGCAAATTCACTACTTGCTAAGCTAACTCTTGTTCGTCACAAGTATTAAGTCGACCCAAGAACTCACTATTCAGATGTCAAATAAAGATAATATTTCAGTAGTACTTACGCCTCGTTAAATAAAGAGCCGTGAAACAATTCGGGCGATGTATATACAGCTCAAGGCTTCACCTGGACGTCACAGAGTTACTAAACCCTACATACTTGTGTACATATCTATGACTCTGACATGGCCAGCACCCAGAAGAGCGTAGCAAAAATAAAAGTACGATAGAGTTTGGTACCTAGGATTCCCAGATGGTCTCCCATGCCATTGCGGTACTAATTGAGCGATACGAAGCTTGGGTCCAGCAGAGCTGACGGGATGCCCCATTTTCTCCGTTCTATCACCCCCGTACTCTATCGGGAAGGATTCTAGCAAAAAGCTTACTTGATGAGTTCAGTACCTAGTATTCCCGCATGGTCTCCCAGTGCAGTACTAGCTGGGCGATACGGGGCTTAGATATGGAAGAGCTGACGGGATTCCTCGTTTTCTCCGTTCTATGACCGAACACGTCAGTAGGTTCAATATCTATGCCTATATTTGATAATTAAGAACAGCAATCTTAGGTCGACGTCTCCTGCTATAAAAACTATAATAAAAGGCCCGTGATACCACAAGTATTAAACTGCGCAATATCACTGTTCAATCTTCCGAACGTGTCAAAGTGAGCCAATCCGGGAACAAAATATCGACAGTCAAGACTCAGCGTCTCCCAAATTACCCCCAGCTACCCACAGTATATAGGACCCCGGCAAAAAAAAAAAATGAGTTCAGCACCCAGTATTCCCGCATGGTCTCCCAGTGCAGTACTAGCCGGGCGATACAAAGCTTGAGTCAGGCAGATCCGACGGGATACCCTATTCTCTTCGTTCTATGGCCGAACACATTGAGCTCACACATCTGTCCGCCATGAGAGGAACGCTCTCCAAATATCTACACAACAAAAACAAGCTCTATTCGGCACAATTGAACCCAGTCAAACAAGCGATGACCCTTGCAGAAGCTGCTACAAGTGTGTATTTGTATGTACCAAGCTCTTGTGGCGAGATTTCCTTAACGTCAAACCCGCAGAATCATGACACCTTTTACCGCCCGCCCGAACCGGGTTTAATCTAAACCTACAGAGATTAAAACCATAGCCAAAACACGGGATTTATGTGAGGAGCTCCTTCGCCAAATTTTGTCCCCCGCCGCGAGTGTGTGTGTGTATTCCTAGATGGCCCTTACAATTCTAAATCGTTGTTTTCGCTAAAGGTTTTTTTTCTCTGGTTTGGTAAGGATTATAACTGAGATAAGGCTTAAAACCACCCTTACAAGTTGATCTGGCGGTAAAAAAACGTAAGCCTTTCCTAACCCTTGCGTACTAGAATTAACGTTATTTCTTAACAAGCTCTTTTGCGATATAAGCCTCCGATAAGGTAGATATAAGCACGTTATAAGATTTAAACAACTACAAGCGCGCAAAATCGGTACCCTCTGATATGACGATGAGACTGTTAAGTCCAATCTATATGTCAGGTAATTCTGGCGCTCGGAAAAGGTTCATATCGCCCTGGCGATTGGTGTCAAGACGTGTTTGGGTTGTGCAGGAGCTCCAAAATCTGAGAGGTACTGTCATATCTACTAATATTTGATGATCCCTAACATATACTTGCTAAAAAGACCGAGTGAGTAGCCGTGAGCCAAGCCCCAACAAAACGCTTTGCGCAACGACGCCACCGACATCTTTACCAGTGATAGATCATGGTTTATTGATCATTGACAGGGTCGGGAAGAGAGCTGTAATCATCGTCCTCAATTAAGGGGGCTCACCCTAGCTGGTGAGTTGCTCCTTCTTACCTTCTAACAAATAATCCATCTATCTATTCGTGCCAACAACCAGTAGTATGTAAACATTATCTAACTACAAGTATTCAAGTAACACAACCACCAACAGATGCATAGCTTATGGTTGAAAACCGGGTGTGAATTATAACGAATCGAATTTTCTACCAGCACTTTTGTCTGCCACTGACGGCACCTATGTCCACTAGTTGTTCTCGAGCTTTTCAAGCCGAGAAACTCAAAGATATATTCTTATGAGAACACGAACAGCGCGATTACCTTCATAACTGATACCGCCACGCAACCCCCCCCCCCCCCCCTCTTCCCAGTACCTACATCAAATAGAGGCCCACCCTAACAAACAAACAGCAATATACTAGCCAACAGTACAGAACAGTAACAAACAAAGCCCAACCAACCACCAATCCAGCGTGTCCGGCCACAAAACGAGAACGATGGGGCCTCTAGTCAGCTCTTCTAAACCCTCGCCCAATTAGTCCCGCGGCAGGAAACTATTGTACTGAAGTCGAGTCCCCCTTTTTTGTATTAAGCAGATTCTAAGGATCCGGAGGCGTACAGCTAGAGGGGCCCCCTCCGTCCGTCCGTCCGTCCGTCGACGAGAGCCTAAGGAGCGAAATCGATGAACATGGAACGAAAAAAAATATCGGTCAAGAGCGTCGCCAGGCCGGAGCAAAATTCCGGGCCCAGGATACAGATATCTCAAACGAATACTTATATGCGCAACGTAGGGCCACCCGATTCTACTACGAATCATTTCTCATGATTAAAAACCGAACAAGCCTATAACTAACAGCCGGTAACTGGCGGCGGCCCCCGGGACCTGTAGATCCTGACAGCCTAAAGATCCATATATACAGAATAAGGCGGGGCGCGGAGCCCCGCCAGCCATTGGGGGTTATGGAGTTTCCCGCCCAAGATCGCGGACCGGGCCGCCCCTCAATCTGTCGTCTGTCCTGTCCAGCCGGTCTTGGAGTTATATAGAGCCCCGGGACGGCTAAGTAGTATACTATATATTGCACCGCTTTATTCCGGCCCTTTTCTCCCTTCGGTGGGCGGGACCGGTACTGTATTCCTCACCGCGTGCTTCTCGAGCTTTCACTCATCAATCCAAGCAGGATATTCAGTCCAATCCAGCCCGCTACATCATTCCCAGGCGTAACCTGGCTACCTACTCGGGGCAGGCAATAAGAACCTGAAGGTGCAAACTGCAAGCAGGGGCTCAATTTGGTGTAGCTTTTCACCAGCCACGAATCAGAGGTCGTTACCATCAAAAGTCATTTTCAGGTTCTTCTTACCTGCCCTGAGTATTTTCGCTTCCGCTCCTTCACGAACGCACGCTAACCGCCCAGACCCAACCCAACCCCACGGGCCGACCCGGGCCCCAAGCCCCCAGCCGCGCGCAGTGACCAACCAGACGGGCCCCCGCGTCTCATCGTCGCATACGCACATGCTCCACAAACCATGGTCTGCTGAGGGACGCACGGGTTTCGTATGTAGTTACTCCAAATGGAATCCGGGGAACGTACGTAAAGAGGATCACATCACAGTGTTTCATGAAACGCCCGGGTAGGTGCGGATTGTGTGGGGGATTGGGTTGGTGGTGCAGGCTTGTGATTGGGCTGTGGTTGTGATCGTGGGGTGCGGGACGGCTTATGTGGGAGGGGGGGGTATAGGAGGCGTATTTATAACTAGATGCTGCGCTGCGGTGTGCGCAGCTGCGGAGGAAGGAGGGGAAGAGGAGGGACGGTTGTGTATTCAGCTGGGTAATTCGTGGCGAGAGTACGTTCTGTTGTCCTCCTGTCTCCCCATGGGGATAGGGTTCCGTTATGACCAAAATCCGAGATAAATAGTATCAGGTATACGTAGCTAGCACCGAGTCGTGATAAGGGCCATTTGAGACGCATGCGAGTGACAGGCCATGACCACGCACCAATCCGTTGCAGCCACGATCGGCAATGCAGCCAAGCCACACGTGACAGACAGACAAGCAAGGGTTGGGAAAACCCGTTCGGCCCGGCCCGTCCCATGCTGTGCAGAGTACTTCAGGGTGGGGGATTTCACTTTGTTTACCTGCAGAGATAGTGCAACCGTTAGTAGAAGAATTTGGCAAAGGAATTCATTGATCGTATACTATGCGTGTGCGTAAGGAAAAAAGAAAAAAAAAGAACAAGAAGAAGGAAAAGAAAAGAACCCCGAATTCGATACCATACTCATGACCAGAGTAACTATGTAGAACTAGTTAACCAGATCAAAGAAGAAGGAAAGAATTCTAGAATGAGAAAAAGCGAGAAAAAAAATGACCATATGTGTGCTTAGGAGAGAAGAAGAGAAAAAAGGAAGAGAAAAAAAGAAGGAAAGAGGAAAGAGGAAAGAGGAAAGAGGAAAGAGGAAAGAGGAAAGAGGAAAGAAAGAAGAAGAAAGAGGAAAGAAGAAAGAAGAAAGAAGAAAGAAGAAAGAAGAAAGAAGGAAGAAGGAAGGAAGAAGGAAGAAGGAAGAAAGGAAGAAAGGAAGAAGAAAAGAAAAGAAAAGAAACCTCGAAATATCCAAAAATAAACACCTAAAGCTCAATTAAATAAGCCATCAAAGTTTAAAGCACACCATGTCGAACCTTGGACTAAATCAATCGCCCCAGAATTCTGACAGCATACCTTTGCGATTCAGAGCCAGAGGCCTAAGCCCACTGGTGGAGTACAGAAGGGAGTCGTCGATCTTGTCCGTCACGATAAAAAAAAACAGAAAAAGGTCAAAAATAAAAAATAAAAAAAGAAAAGGGAACATTTCCCGCCACAGGTCCAGAACCATCGGAAAGGACCCTCCTCTTTTTTCACCTTACTAGTGACAATATCAATCTCGATCTATCGTTGGAACAGATAAAACTCCCAATAACTCCGTAAAACTAACTAGACCCTCGGCCTCACCCTGCGCCTCCTAGGGCTTGTGAGTGTCGCCAGGTCCCCCTTTGGTGTTCTACCTCTTTTGTCCTTCACGTCCATCTCCGCCCCTGCGCCTACCAACGCATTGATATCGTCCAGTAAAGCAAACTCATTCCTCGCTGCTAGATGCAGCGGCGTCCTTCCGCTGGAATCGGCCACATTTACATCGGCGCTCCCTTTTAAAAGGGCTGTTATCGCTTCGGCTCCGGTCGACGCTGCTTCATGCAACGCTGTCCGTCTGACGTTGTCGCGAGCCTCGGTGTCTACACCCTCCTCAATCAGAACCTCGCAAATATCCGCCCATCCGTGCTTTGCGGCTATATGGAGCGCTGTGCGACCGTTGACGTCCGTTTCGGCCAGGAATACGCCCTTGTCGAGCAAGTATCGGACAAGTGCCAAATCCCCCGTTCCGGCGGCGAGCAGAAGTGCGGGTCGCTTTCGATAGTCGTAAAACTCGGCATTCACATGGCTTAGCATGAGCTTCCACATGTCTACCTTGTCTCCTTTAATCGCCATGTCGATGGCACAGTAGGGCTCTGAAAACTTGTATTCGCATGCTTCTACCTTCGCCCCCTTGTTGAGGAGGATTCCGACAGTTCCCAAATGGTCGCCGATAACAGCTTTCTGTAACGGCCGCAGCCCGTCTGCTCCGACTACTTCGATATCTATGTCCATTTCGGGCTCCAGCATCACCTTCACCACAGACTCCATCCCAATCTTACAAGCTTCGAGAAGCGCCCCGTCGATCATTGTCTTGTGAGGTTCTACCTGGGAAAGGTGAGGTGGGTATCCCCAGTCATTGGTGTCGATATGAAAGCCATTAGATATAAACATCCGTGCTAACCTTGCTCTACCATTCCTGACTGCCCACATCAGCGGCCCAATTGTTGTGCCCTCCTCCCAAACCTCCACTGCGACGTTCAGGTCCATAATATACTTAATTAGTCTCTTGTCTGCTCCGCACACCGGAAGTGGCGGCTCAACAGACATGTGATCGACGGCCACATGAATTCCCTCCTTACAACGTTCAAGCACCGTCTCCGCAAGGATTTGATCCTTTAAGGCGATGGCCCAGAACAGGGCGCCGTGGGGGCCGTCTTCGGAGATTATGGCATCGATAAAAAGATGCCTAAAGAGGTGATTAAGCCTTTTATTGGTATGATGAATGTATAGAAGCTCGCTGGGAGAAAACGACTCTGCTATCCCAAGCCAGAGCTCGTTTGGAAGGGAGAGAATGGCGGGGGGCATTGCGGAGTAGGTATTTCCGTCGTTGCCGTTCTAATTCTTTCGCATAGAGTTCTGTATTGATGTTTAGTGTTTGGGAATATATACTATAATGGATTATAATTACTCTGGGGGGTTGTTGGTGGTGGCCGGTGGACGTGCCTAGCACAAACAGATGAACCGTTAGGTACGGTTTGCAAGGGAAGATCGTGAGGGAACAGCGGCTGACGGAGGTCCTGAGACACTGTTTTATTAGCCGACTATGATGTGGGTTCTTTCTAGAACGGCCATTTTTAGCTTAATTGACCCCACTGCGGACATATTGTTGTATATTTTCGCTCGAAAAGTGCATTGTTCCCCTCTTTTATGTGAGCAAGGGTGTTTTCGTGGTCTGCCTTAACATGCTGTCGATGCAGGTAGGTATATGTATGTCGCTTTAGGTAGTTAGTTGTCTTGGGTCCTATTACTGTGAATGGAATGGTCGGGACTTGGTGTCAGTTACAGTCGAGCATGAGCGGGGAGACTTACGTTGTATGGGTGATAAAGTACTCTAATGGTTGGATATGCCACGATGGGGGTGGGTGGGGCTATACATATGTATTGGAGTATCACATTTATTTTCTTTTTCGCGAGTGGAGGGGTGAAATATGAGAGCCGCACCACTGGGATCGGAAATTAGGCTGGGGGTACATTGTATGTATGTAGACTAATCGGATAGCTCCAAGAAATGTGAGTGTTTCTATATCTATCATGCAGTGTGCGCTACAGTGCGTGGTCTACATCATATTCGACTGTGACACGGGTTTTGGTTAGCAACGGGTCATGTTTTATCACTCGCATTTCAAGGATTATCTGCTGGAATTTGAGGATGGAAAAACCAATGTGCTTCATGAGGGGTCACTCGATCATCATGCCAGAATTTTTCATGTTATCCACCTCCTGATCCAATTAACAAAGATGAACATACGATCCAGTGTCGATATCTTGTGCTTTTAGTTATTGATAAACCAGCGTGAACACCCTAGTATCTCGAATCTGATTGGTTTAAAGAATATACCGCGATTATTTATGCGCGGTATTAATTCATCTGATCTCTTCTGCGCTTCCCGTTGCGAAGCGCCCTACCCGAGGAAATGCTCTTGGCGTTACAGCGTCATATTGACATCAAAGATCGACAGTTGCTGGGGTCCGAGGGCCGAATGCATACGACATTGGATCGTGTTGACGAGCAGGGGTTCTGTGTAAAGTATGGCCCGCCTGTCCGTGAACGACTATAGAGTACCATATCCAGGTGCAGTGTTTGCTAGTCTTAGACTCGAAAATTAGAAAATATCTCAGTTATCGCTTCGCCTGGCAAGCTGACCACCCTATAATAGAGGAATGAAATTCTTACGGAAGATCTATTATTTGATAAGAGAGATAAGAGGATCTATTAGTAAAACCACACAGAAATATGCTTTTAGGGGGGTGGTCAGCATTTGTTACCAGACGAAGGGCTCACAGGCGCACCGGCGTCGATTCTAGGAAACAGACAATTTGAGCCGCGAAAAACAAATTGACGTTGGTCAGGACACAAGCCATATGCAGAATACTCTACGTACTGCATAAGATATCGACACTGGATCGCATGTTCGTCTTTGTTAATTGGATAAAGAGGTGGATCACATGAAAAATTCTGGCACGATGATCAAGTGACCCCTCATGAAGCACCTCAGTTTTTCCATCCTCAATTTCCAGCAGGTAATCCGTGAAATGCGAGTGATAAAACATGACCCGTTGCTAACCAAAACCCGTGTCTCAGTCGAATGATGTAGAATCGGCATAGCCAAATTTCATTTTCGAGCATTGCAGGTACTTCTACGCTGTCTTTTATGGTTCCACAGACGTATTTATAAAATAGTAGAAACACTGAAGGAGTTATTAACGTCCCCTCTAGCACCACGGAATATTCATCCACTCACCGGGTTTGAGTAACATGTGTTTTGCCGTCGTTCGACTGCCCGAGAGGCTTCTCAAGCGAGACCACACCTCGAGTGATACATCGTGAGCCAAGATCAGTGAGTGCACGTGGTGGAATCTAGCAAACGGCGGTAATCTAAAAACCAATTTGTAGAAACATAGCGTATTAGCAGGAGACTAGAAAAACAACCCGTCTTGATCATAGGAATCATCATAGCAGCCGACCTACGTACTTATCTACTCCTCCATAGCCTTCGGTGTAGTAAGGCAACTAGACTGCACACGTCGATTGACCAGGTCGTGGCAGTTCCACATGACGTCTAGGAAGACTGAGTATACGCGAAAGAAGCTGCCTGCAATCTGGATGTTGGATTAACGAGCCAGACAGTATCGTCTGCTTGATCTGGGTGGGGGTGATTATGCTTTGAGGATGCGGACAATGATGCTTTGAGGAGAGGGATAATAATGTTTTGAGGATAGTGATGATCACATAGGTGGATGTACGTAGCTAGAGGATCTGGGAGAGGCTCAAAGTGTACAATGCAGAAAGATATGGCTGTTTGAACTTGCACACGTATGGTATGGAGGCTAAAGGACCTGAAGTACGTACGTATACAGATATTACATCCTTCCAGTACTGGATACGTGCGCGTACCGCTCGAGAGAAGAACTCTATACATGTACTCCTACATGGCATTCTCGCTTCAAGATTTATCATAACAGAACCACACCCCGCCCTGATCATCCAATCTCCTCTATCATATTTATCTATCACCCTTTCCAAACATCTTCAATCCGTGACAATCCATATATAAAAATACAGAAATGGTACCCCTCCCTCCCATCTCCCCAACCCCCCCCAAACACCCCCACTAACCCCCCTTCCATCAGCCCCCCAAAACCCTCCCCCACCCGCTAAGCTCAACCTCATCCTCACCCACTTCCACACCACCCTCACCACGCACCCCCTCAAAGACCTGGAAAAGTCCCTCCCCTCCGCCGCCGGCATCTCGCCCATGGTGGTCAAAGACTTCCTGACGGCGCTCACCGACGAGGGCCTTCTCCGCGTCGAGAAGATCGGGTCCGGCAACTGGTACTGGAGCTTCCCGAGCGACGCCAAACACGCCAAGGCGCGGCTGCTCGCGCAGTTTGAGAAGGAGCTCGAGAAACTCGAGAAGAACATGGAGGAGGTGAGGGCTGAGCTGGAGAGTGTGGGCCTGCAGGGGGAGGAGGTGAGGGAGAGGGCGGCGATGGCGGAGAGGGTGCAGGCGTTGACGGCGGTGAGGGCGGCGCTGGTGGAGGAGTGGGGGAGGTGTGATCCGGAGGTAGAGGGGAGGAGGAGGAGCGAGATGAAGAGGATGAGGGAGGAGATTAATATGTATAATGGTACGTAGGTTGTGGTGTTTATCTCCTGTTTTGGGGGCGGTTGGGTGCTAATGTGCCGGGGTAGATAATCTCTATACGCTCGAGAGCTATGTGAAAGAGGCAACCGGCGGAGATAGGGAGAAGATGGATGCGTGTAGAAAGATGTTTGGCATGGAGGATGATCTGGAATATGTTTGAGCGGGCTGACCTTGCTACTTAATAACACATCTGAATAGCCACAGATGAATACCAATCATTTAGCTTTCCTTGCTAGCACATATCTGCTCGAATCTTCACGCAAGTCATCACGCCCGAGCACCCAGAACCAACCTAGAGTTAATAAAACTCAGCATAACACAGCAACACCTCTGTAATATGTCTAAGGTGCCTCAACAACTTGACTACTACAAACCTTAGAATCACATCCAATCACTCGGTCTCCAGTCCTCACCTAACCACCACCAACCGCAACCAGAACCTCGATACCCCCGCCACCAAGTCCTCATAGCCCAATACCCAGCTCCACCCCCAAGCACCCCACGCCCATCACTCTTCCCCCACCAGACAACAAAGCCACTATAAAAAAAAAAGTATGTTCTAGTCCACTGGTACTCTCCGCTGTCAAAGGGTCCGTCTAGTTCAAGTGCTGGTATTGAGACAATGTAGTAGTAAAACATCGGGGATTAGAATTAAAGATGACGACGTCAGACATTGAATATACATGTATAGTTCAGTCTGAGGTGGTGTTTACGCTTACCTGCTCATGCTCACTATAAAATGTCAAGACGTGTTGCTATATATGTCCAGTGTCCCCATTTATTACACTGTTTTCTTCGAGATATATCATTTTCTCAATATTCCTACAGGATTCGTTTCGTTACTCTCGCTAATATGTTGAATTTATGTAATCCTACAACAGATGAGATACATGTAGTTACACTTAAACATTTATCTAGCTCTTCCTCGAAGCCGTATAGTTTGACCTCTTTGTCTACCATTGCGATATATCCCTAATTTAACGCCAGCCGGATTTCGCCCACGCGGGCTCCTTGCCATCCTATAGTAAGCAGTATCGCTATAATTACTCATATTGATGATGACGATGTACTAAAGAGGGAGTAAAAGTCACGTTTGGTAGTTGATTTGATTATTGTTTGTTTTTACGGGAGTGCGGGCCATACGGCTCGTCCCGGAATTCTATTAGCTAATGTAATGTGTGTTTTCTGTACAATTATGATTAGGGAAGAGCCCCGTTGCTAAACGAAATATACCAGCTATTCTGGTACACCTATGCTTATGCTATGTGTACTTATATAACGCCGAGTGTTCTCCTCTGGCTAAGGATTATACAGCGCCCTCAATATTAGAGACTTTGCACAAATAGAGCCAGCTGAAGTATGCTGAATGGATGTAATCAACTTGATACTTTATTGAATACTACGATGATTATTGTAAGAGGGAAGCCCTCTCGCTCCCTCTTCATCTACTCTCAATACAGACCACATTCACTACATGTGAACTCGTGTCTTTCTTGGTATTATACCAATACATACTAGTACTCGTTACACCGACCGTTCTCAGTCAGTTTGCACCAACATTCATATCCCTACACCAGCTCTATATTCTAATTATCTTATCTAACTACAAGTAGCTAGTGGTAATCAGGTTGCCGGAAAATGGAGCTGGCTCCATTTGCGCAAGGTCTCTAATATTTATTTTTACAGGGAGCTTGCTGCCTCCAATATTCCGATTCTTAGTCCTAGGTCTCCTAGCCACCTCCCCCATCACAAGTACTAGGCTCTCTTCGGCCACCTTTCCTTGACAGCCACACATCTCGTCCTCCTGAAATACCTCTATCACATCTAAAAAGAGTGATGAGCGTGACTTTCTGCGGGCCTGCAAGAAAACCTATCCAACTTTTCCATGCCACAGCGCTAGGTGGTAATCGTTCCCAGGCCGGCTTCGTTTGTAATACAGTTGGCTCTTGCTGGTTTCTTCTTCTGGATGGAGGGAAACGTGTATCCTTTCCTAAGGCATATGTAAGCGTATCCAGATGAGAAGTCCGGCTCGTAGTGCTGTTTCGTCATCTTTTTCTGCGCGATTGCTATGGCGTCTTGCGCTTCCTTTCTAATGATCTCCCGCGGCCGTTCCTGTACAACTCGCTATATATAGTGATACTGTATATAGTGATACTCCCCTAATAGGATAGTAACCAGCGGTCCCGGACTGCTGTTTTACGTGTCCATCCTTGCTTCCCGTAGCGGTACTCGCCTTAAGGATAAGATTTTCGGTCCCGACCGTATCCTTATATATCGAGAGTCGACTGTACACATAGTGGAGCTTCATTGATTAGCTCTCTCCCGGTGTTTCGTGCATGCTTTGCATTCTGCTACTACGACAGAACACACATGAAAGGAGAACGGCGTACTTACAGTCTCCCGACCCTGTTAGAGGACTTCGATGACAGTACACCCGCCCTACAAGAGATGGAAACAGGATACCATGGTCCGCTGACCGAGGCTCCCGCATGGTTTCTTGGATTGAGATCGGTCTGTCGTCGATCGACACTGCGTATAATCCTTATAATTGTTGCCATATCCCTTGGTGTTCATAGCGGTCTCTCCACTGTTACAAGCACGGCCGTTAGCAACAGCGATATCAAATTTAAATACCATCTGGTATGGCGATAAAGAAGGACGGTATACATAAGTAATTGGAGTGGCCTCGATGACCCATGATATTAATATAGTAGAGGTCGGTGCAGTAAGCCGGGCGACATTGCCGCGCCGAGCCAACTCGAGGTACTTTCGATGGAGATAGAGGAAGAAGGGTTCATGTTGGAGATAGAAAAGTTCCGGAAGAGGAACTCATGTTGGAGATATGATATAGGAAGAGGAGTTCATGTTGGAGATATGATATAGGAAGAAGAGCTCATAGTGGAGAGAGAAGAAGAAGGGACGGGGGAGCACCACCCATGGGTTTATATACCCAATATATCTAAGTACACGTGGATACATGATATGTTCTCGGCCAGATAAGCTTCTCTCTTTAATTTCCCGGGTTCATGGACACATCTGTTGCAGTTTAAGGATTGAAAAAACGTGTCCCGAATGTGTCAAGAGGCGGATCAAACACATATACAGAATTAAACCTGGGACATGTTTCACTCTGCATTGTACTACTCTGTGCTGCTGTCTGCCTATCGATCCAGCCTTGGCCCACACAAGCTGGCAACATACTAGACCGCATATTTACCAAGCACCCCAAACAGCCAGCCTGCCCACAATTAATTACTCCACACAACTCCGGAGCCCGCGGTCAGCGAACAAATCCCCAGACCGGATATCCGCACCCCGCACCCCGCGGCCGCTCGCCCGGAGACCGATCGCCTACGCACTAAATCTGCCCCCCCACAGCACACATGAATTAATAACCATAACCATAACCATAGCCACAGCCACCACCCCGCCCGGAAACCCGTCTTTCCGCCCTCCCCTCCACCCAATCCCCGGTTCTCCTATATGCTGCACAGCTGTACCTACAAGCGAATCAACATACTAGCTACATGCTAGCTCGCAATCGGATAGTGGCTGAGCCGGCCCGGCCCGAGCGAACCAAACCCAAACCCAAACCACACACCAGCTGGCCCGGAGCACCTCAATGCCGTATCGTATCACCGTACTACATACGGCGCTATTTATGGCCGAGGCGCAGGAAACGAAAGTGGGGGGATGGAACGTCGGGCGTACAAAACTCCGAATATGTAAAATTTGTCACACAGGCACAGGCAGATTCGAGGCTGGAAAAACCATTTTACTCGGCCAGCAGTTTCCCGGCCATGCAGATGGAACGACTGACGTACTACTCATTGGATCTGGAGTTGATCTTCACATGCCAGAGGTGAAACGTGGCCATGGTGACTTATCCGCCCACAGACTGGATGTATGTACTTACACATAGATACTCTACTGGAGGATCGATAGATCAGGTATCCACTTTTAATTCTCGACGCGACGGGATCTTGTACACTTAGGGCATTGCACTAAGTAAGGGTCTCGAAATCTCTGGTCAAGGCTCGGAGCGCGGACAGTCTTTCCCATTGCAATTTTTTTGGAACACCCCCAAAGCCTGCATGTATGTAGCCAAGGCACAATCCCGCGAGTGATGGCGCATGACTTACCACCACCCCACCTCTCACTCCACCACCCCACCAAACCAACCAATGGACCACCCCACTACCCCGTCGCGCCAGTCCCCACGACCCACTCTTCCCTCCCGCTACCGCCAAAAAGAAAAAGAGAAAAAAGAACACTCCCGCCATTGATCACCGCAAGAGCAAAAAAAAAAAAAAAAAAAAAGCTGATGAAAGGAGGGGGATTCGAACCCCCGCGGGCTAGGCCCATGAGAAACCTCGCTTACTAAGCAAGAAAGAACTGAATCTTGAGTCACACACCTTAACCACTCGGTCATCCTTCCACATCCTGCAACGGTTTGTTTATGCAATTACGAACACGCATAGCATCTGTCAGCATAACAGCATAACAGCATAACGAGTGACATCCCATGCGCATTCACCCCCGCGGCCGGAGGCGCCGATACGAAAAAAACCAGGGGGGTGGGGATGGGATGAGTTTTGTGTGACCGGCGACCTCCCCCGCCCTTCGCGCACCCCGGGTACGTCTCCATAGTAGCACACCCCGAATTCTCCGAAGATCGAGAGAAGAGAGACTTAAGCTTGTAGCTAGGAGGGTCCTGGAGGGAGGACAAGGCAGAAAAAATAACTCACTGCACCACCAGATTCACATTCTCGATCGCAGTACATACAGCAAGCACATGTAAAAAGTACTAATGTAGGCACTGTAGGCACACAGGTAGAGCAAAGCATTGAAAGCACTTATGTAGTAGTAGTTGTAGTTGTTACCCCCACACCCAGACTAGAGATGGGGTTGGGGGGGACAACTCTGTCCAGAGAAATTCATATTTACCAAACGCCGCAGTACTAGAGTGTAGGACACCAAACGTCTCGATCGCGCCCTTTTTGGGAGATGAAAAAAACAGAAGGAAAAAAATATATAAAAAAAAGGGAGAAAACAAAAATACACAAGAAACGAAATAAAGAAACAATGCTCTCAAAACATAACATCAATACAAAAACAAGCAAGCGCGAATGGAAAAATCGAAATAGATGAAAATAAAAACAAGTGACAGACTCCATCCCAATGATCCGGATCCTTCTCCGTTTTAGCCCCCCTTTTTTGCACGCACATCCCTACAACCACACAACCCACCTCAACCGGAGATCGGGCAAAAGAAGTTGGTTCAAATAAGAAAAATAAACATAAGAAAAAGATGTGATTGATGAGTGAATGAACAAGTCCAGATGAATCAACCAGAAACGAGTGATATAAAAATAGACTCAGTAAAATAGTAAAGAAAAAAAAATAAAAAAAAAGCTCTGCTCCGTCGCAAATTTTGTCCAGAAAAATGCAAAAAAAAAAAAAAAAAAAAAAAGTATTTACTCCTCGACACTCCCGCCCTCATCAAAAATAAACGAAGGTAAAACTCCCAAGTTAAGGCAAAAGAGAGAGAATATGAAACAAGGCTCATGCGCGTGTTATCGTTGATATCTTGGCAGTCCGCCCTCAAGATCATGTTCATCTAATACAGGAGCACTTGGCGCATTGCTGCTACCCTCTCCTGCATTATCGTCAGGGCTGCCCGCTGATGCCAGCAATCGCAGCCTTTCGGCCTCCTGTTTATCGTCCACACCTTCCTGTACATCTTGATGATGCTGATCTGAAGGCTCCATCGGGGGTGCCGATGGATAGTACATATAGTCGGGCATCCCCGCGGGTGTAAGTGGCGGAGCACTAGCGCTGCTCTCACCTGCTTCCAGCCCGGGTGGTGCACTAGGCAGGAGCGACTGTTCGGCAAAGCGTATTCGTGTTTTCTCGTCCATTTCTTCGTGTGGCTGTTCCGCGTTTTCTCGTTCAGGTTCGTGCGGTAGTAGTGACATCTCTTGATAATGTGATGCTTCTGGGTGCCGTGTGTAGTCCGGTGCTTGCTCGCTCCAGCCCTCCTGGCGTTCGCCGTGCACCTCTGTCTCCTCCTGGTGAAATTGTATTGTTGGAGACGCTGGCATTGGTACCAATTCTACCTCCACCACGTTATTCATCTGCTCTTCTACCTGTATCTGCGGTATTGAGATCTGCCGAGCTCCAGCTCTTCTTCCCCTTCCGGTCACTGAGTCCACACTGCCAATCACAACCGGAACCTTGCAAAATATAATGCTTTTTTCCCGTTTTCTTATCCGTTCCGTTTCAATCATAACCCCTCCCTCGCTTGCTATCCGCACGCCCCCTTCCTCCGCACTCTTTGGCCTAGACAGTCCAGGTATTGTTGTTCCGCCGCCAATGAATATATCATCCCTTCCAGTTAGTTTCCCACCGAGATCTACTACAACCTCAACCCAGTATCTAAATGATACCTCTCCTCCGGGAACCGAATTGATTGTAGGGAATACATCTTCGGGGACTCTCAGATTAGCCCTCACGACGGCAGTGAGGGTTTTAGGGTCGATTATTAGCGGCATGACAGTCTGTGACAGGTCCTTCCGGAATGTACCACTGCCTACAGCTGTCGTAGAAAGCGCCTTTTTCAGTGGTTGTGGGCGGTGTGCTGGGTCAAAACGAGTCTGCCGGTAAAGAGTTAATATTATACCATTCAAGGATTTGACTGCCTTTGTGTGGTGGACGGATATCTTTATAGGAATATTGTCGCCACGAAGAGCGCCGCCCTTCGCCATCTCGATAGATGCAGTTATAGTTTTTGATTTTATATATGCCGGAGTAGATGTTGGTGATAGATAGCCAGGGTCCGAGGAAGGTGGTAAATTTCCATGAGAACTGTTTGGTGATGATGCGACCGACGGTGTAGTTGCCGGTGATGAAGGTCGTTTCCGTGACCGCCGAGATACAATAGGCTCCAGTTGGATAATGTGTGGCTTTGGTTTTGGTAGATGGCCGATATCAATAGTCTCTAGAAGATTGATCTTTGTTGTACATGTTGTAGTCGCCGACAACGTTGTAGGCCGCGTCAGGGTCGATGATATTGTGTACGATATTGAACCCTTCTCAAACTACAATCGCGTCAGTCCGCTGTCAGCTGGGCTCAACTACACAACACAAGAACATTTGCTTGGCGGCGCCAATAAATATTGGACGAGTACGAATTAAGGGTATACCTACATCCAAAGAGCTCGGCAGACCTCCAACCATCTTCCCAACCAGGACGAAGAACAACTCGAACTTGAATTCATACTTTCCCGGCTCTAGTCTTCCCTCACCACACAATACACTCTCGTCCCTACACAGCACAATTCCGCCACCTGATCCATCGTCGTATTCCGCATCCCACTCCTTTCGTTTCTTTCCCGAATCCTTTGTCGACGGCAAGTTCAAGTCCACACGGCCAACCAGGTTTACGACGAGGTGAGTGAAGTTTAGTGCTTTTTCGACCGTAAGACACACCGATCCCTTGACAGTATCTGTTGGTGAGTATACACGATGGGGGTCATTTAGTCGGATGTGAAAATCGCCCAATGTACGGCGCGGCGGTCTTAGTCCAGGCAGCGACAGTGTTGAAGTCTTTGACCGAAGACGATTCAGCAGCGACGGTCTGGAGGAATTTTTAGATGTCATTTTTTATGTAGAGGGATGTTCGTGGAGCTACTGCTCTTAGGGAAGGGGATTGGGGGGGGGATGAGGTTTCCCCAGTGACTATCAGCGACGAATGCGATGTCGCGTTCAGATCGGATATAGCTCCGACCGTATCGAACGAGTCGGATAAGATGGCAGCTGCTGCCAAGAAAGGGGAGCAGCGAAGGGCTTTAGGATGTACTCTGGGCCACCAAGGCTATATATGGCGAGGCGATGTGGGAAGATGGGGAAGAACGAGGTAGACAGATAGTTGGTGGGGGGATGTGGGAAGACTTGGTAGATGGGGGGGCGGAATAACTAAGAGTTCTATGATCTATACTTGTAGTCGGAAGAGGAAGTAGGGCAAGATCCTCGGTAAATCCGACGGAGAGGAACACCAAAAGGCTTAATCCTGCAGCAAGTGGCGGAGGTGAAAGTATAGGCACAGGCAGCAACCCGTTGGGGGGTGGAAGGAGAGTCAAGGTCTTTTGACAGATAGGGGAGGGAAGAAAGCTTGGCTACTCCAGGGCTAAGTCTTTGGGGGGGGGGTTATGATAAGCCTTTCTGTTGGAGGGAATTGAGAGATGGAATGGAAAGAAAGATTTGGGGTTGTTGTGGAGGGGGATATGTGTGTGTGTGTGGATGGAAGGGGTGGTGGGGACGAGGGGAGGGAAGTGGAAATCAAGGTAAGGGAAGGGGGGGGGGGGGGGGGAAGCGTGAGAAGGGGGTTGAATGAATGAGTTTAGTTTAGAGTGAGAAAAGAGAGAGATCAAGCGAGAGAGAGAAAGAGGAAAGTAAAAGAAAAGGCAGGAGTGAGAAAGAGGACGGAACGAAGAACGAAATAACGCGGGCTCTCTTTGAAGAGAGTGAGTGAACTGTGAGATGACGCTGTGCCGATAAAATCGATTATAATAATAGCAATAACAAATGCCGACCGATCTCGCAGCAAGCTGACTGGGTGAAATGTTGGATTGAGGCACTTGCTTTCTTTCTTTCTGACAGCAACAGGGAATATAGCGCAGAGGCCTGCTAAATGGATCCAGTTGACCGTAGAATGGAGTTAACTCGTGTGGATGAAATTATTGGTGAACGGCTCTACGCTGGATCTCTCCGGCTTCTTTCCCTTTTTCCTTTTCCTTTTCCTTGGTATTCAGGATGCTTACGACGAACTCGCACACTTCCTGTCTGTGGATCTCTTGGGTGCGGAACCTGTCGAAGTCTTGGAAAATGCTTGTGTCTACCCCCTTCGCAATTCGATCCCTGGGTTCCCGTTTCTTGCTTGCTTGCTCCACGCCGAGCTTTTTCTCTCGGCAGCATGGCAGGTCCACAGTCCATTTATGAGCCCTTCTAACCCTGACTCTCCACCCATCTCTTTTCCTCACACCCACCCTGCTCTCACACACTCACACACACACACACACACACACAGCGACGCTAAAGTCGGTCGAGTACCTATCGCACACCACGCGCTGCACTCTGCACTGCACCGACCACGCTCACCATGCTCTTCTGCGCGAGTAACAACAGTTGGGACTGGGACTGGGGCTTTCTTGCTAAAGGCTTGTTTTTTTTTTCTGTCTGCTTTTTTTTTGTGGCTTGCATGTTTTTTCCGTGTGCGTGTCTGGGCTCAACGGGAACGGAAGGGAGGAGGGGAGAGGGGGGGGAGGTGAAGGGCAAAAGTAAAAGAGTCCCAAATCTCCACACATCTGACCTTCCTCCCAGACTCTCTCTACTTCCATCCCTTCCATACTTGTGCTGTTGCACATAGTGCTGCTGGGACCGCACTCGAAACAAAGAACTCAATATGTAACATTCCAGTTCCCAGAGGAAGAAGGGAGTCTTTTCCCTTTCCCTCTCTCTTCCCCCCCCCCCCTCCTTCCCACTTTCCCCTACTTCGCTAGCGGCCTCACATCCGCAGCACTCACACAGCCGAAAAGGACATAGCGTATCAACAACCCCAATCTCTTCTCAGTAAATAAACCCCCTCTCATCGCATCCTCCCTTTTTCAATTTTCTAGCCCACCAGTCCTTTCGCTCTTCGCCGTCTCGGGGACTTCTTTACCAAATGCGCTATGAATAAGAAAAATGCAAATCAAACATTGCCTACAAGGCCTGTAACTAGAGCCAGTCAGTCAGCAGTTTTGTGTCTGAAGTATGAGCATTCCCTATCGACACATCTCCTTCCATTCCCACCCATCTCTAGATCATCTCGGAGGAGAGTTAAGAAGGAAGCCAGGACAGCTCGCCGTTCGTGCTCTCTCTCGCGTTTTTATGGGTAGTAGCCGCCAATCCCATCCGCAATGACAAGTGACATCACCCCAAACCCTGCTCTTCCAACCCCCCCTCCCCTCCCTTCCCTACCGGCACACAGCCCGTTAGCGCCCCGCCAAGCCTCTCAGCGATGCTTGTTTTTCCCATCCAACCTCCCCTTCCCTTCCCCTCCCTTCCAGCTGCAGCAAGTGCTTGTTTAACGTGGGGGGCCTTGGCCAGTCAAGCTTTCTTCACTCGCCTTTTTTGTCCTGAGAAAGGCAGGCTCGGCACCGGTGACTGCAGATAACATCATCACCGTGACTAGCGAAACGAATCAAATAAGCGGATGAAAGGGTTGTCTGATCTGATTTTGACTCTGATCGGGCGATCGGCATGTGTGGATTGGTTTGCTTGTGATTATTGTCAGTTTTGTCTTCTCCTAGTGATCCAATAGCGTTATTTCCTTTCTAGTAGAATATGTATGCTGGGCATCTTCAGATGTCCTCCTCCTATCGCGACCCAAGAAGCAGGGGTGTAAGGTAAGAGAGAGAAAGAGAGACACGCGCCGTTGTAGAAAAAAATAGCGAAAAGCCCCTCGAGGGGAGGAGTAAGAAAAACAATGCAATCTTGTGCCGTTGCCGTTGCCGTGGCCGTTGCCGTGGCCCCCGCGGTGGTGGTCATTCGCCGTTTGCTCGCTTTCTACAACAGCCCATGTAAGTAAACGGATACCTACCCAGAAAGCTAAAATGCAAGGCAGACAGGCAAGCTTCTCCTTGAATGTCAGCGCTGTCAACACTCGGTGCCGACCTGCCGATTTATCAACGGCCGGCCCGTGGGAGCTTGTAGGGCACGAGCATGAGATGTCATGGCCATGGCCCGACGTGCCGCCCGACCAATCCGACGCCTCTATGTCGAACTGCAGGGGAGCACAGTCAAGGATCTCAGAAGAAGCATAAAAACCATCACCGTCATCACCCTGCTAGGAACTTATCTATTGGTTTACTCATCGAGAGATGTGGCAGCAGCAGCATCCCAACAGTATTGACACCTCGATCCTCGGAGGAGTCCGATTGATGCACACGAGGTCCATATGAGGGATGTGATATAGCCCCCCCCGGGGCGAACTAATTGATGATTACTGATCTACCAGACAAGCAAACAATTCTGAATCAAGCACTCTATATTCATATCGGATTACTGCCTACAATAGCAACTCTCTCGAACACATATCTCGGAATTTCGTGCGGAATAACCAAGAAATCCGAGATAGCAAACGTACCAGGGCCGCAGCAGGGAAAAGAATAGTTTCAGATACCCAGGTAAAAGACAGCAAGGAATGCAGTATTCCGAGCCATGGAATATCGTGTTTGTGCTAGTTGAGAGGAGCCATCAATTCTCTCCCCCCCCAAAGCGAGTGATAGCTCGTGAAATAATATAATCTGTCTCATATTTTCATCGCACGATTAATTCTAATGCACATAAACTCACGCGGCTCAGGTCTACAGCGCCTTGCCTACGTACTTACGTATGGCAACCGAAAAGCACACCTCCCCACCGACGGGTAACCATCTTTGGCACTGGCACTGATAACGGTGCAGACACCTCGGTCAACGTGTCATTGTGATAGCTATAGGTGGCAGGGTAGAGTACCTACATATGGCATCTGGAACAAATTTTACGCGGAGCAGCTTGACTTGACGATGAGAAACAACACCAACAGCATGCAGAAAGTTGAAACAAAACTTTACGCTGGGATTCCAGTTATCATACATACTTAAGGAAAGTCACAAGGTCTTCTGCTTTGACCTCGATATGTAAGTACTTTACCAAACTCAACCTGCAATATCAACTATTTATGCATAACTGTCCTTTTTCCTTCCCTCGCAACTGAATAGGCCGATTTCAAAGCCGCCCTTCTCGAAATCAAAACAAACAAGCGTTCACTGGCCATGAAGGAGGCTGAACTCCGGAATCACCCGACCGATGGGCCAGTTCAAAATTCACACTGCGGCTGGTTGTTTCGTTTCGTCGGAGCTTTCATTTTACTCTATCCCGAAGGTTACCGTCGATGTTCCTGCCGCGTGCCTTACAGCCATCCCCCGATATAAGAAAGCAATGTAGATCACCCGCTCCCTCTCCTCCAGATCCCTCAAACCAGATCGCCCGGACTCTTCAACACCGAAAATCCGCGAGAGGTGGGGAGGAAAAAAAAAAATCTCAGTCCCGAGGCAGTGGTTTTTCCGTCCTGGGTGCAGATCTTTTTCTATGTCTGTCTGTGGCTACATATGCCTGTCATGCCTGTGGCGGTGCGTAGGCAGTAAGGTTATTTCTTTCTCGCAGCTTCGGCAAGTGATCGAAACCGGCATAAAACGAACAAACAGAGCACCACCAGCATCTCGAGCTGCAGCGGCGGGGGGCTTTGAAATATTCACCTGGGTGGGTCTATATATGTGAGCTGGTAGCCAAACGGAGTAATTATCTTATAGGTATGTATCTGCGTGAGTCTATATAAGCAGGCACTCTTTATTAACTTGATGATGCAGTGCAGTGCAGCGCAGCGTGGATCTGCCAAGAGTTTTAAATGATGATTGATATGATATGCTCGTTTTGGCTACCTATTAGCTATCTGCATATATGTGTCGGGGGATTTGGGAATCCCTGAGGGTCCTTCGCTTCCATCGAGATGGCGTAGGCAGCAGGAGCCGTACCGTTAGACCTGCGGCACTGGAGAGCATCAGAGAGATGAAGGACGTTGATTGACGTTGCTGCCCAGTACAATACCCTGCCAGTTCCAGCAGAGCCAGCATGAGAGCAAGGCCACGGTTGACACCTTGACGTTCACATGGAGTAGTGGAGCACGGTCATTCTAGAGCGCCACCCACTCGCTCCTTCCCGGACAATCTGCAAGCAAGCTGTATGTACGAGGAGTTTCATCGCTGGCGCACCAGTTTGCAGGGTCTCCGCGGGAGTTCCACAACCACGGACGCTGAAACCTGGTCTTATGCTAGCTGGCCGGACGACACAACATTCACCTACGGGCCGGTGAACCGCCAGCCCGCCGGTGATGGAATTGAACCAGTTATATATTGAAATAATTTTTTCAAAGAAATAGGGTAGAAGGGCTGCATATTATCCTGGCACTTTGTTTTGTCAAGTCCCCCGTGGGATGTGTTGTTTGCATCATGTGATATCACTCGCTCTCACTGATGCATTCATACATGTACTGTGGGGTGATGTTTGATGTCCGAGACTCCCCGACTGCCTTATGATGTCTAAAATGCCAATTGGGTTCCTGGAATGCTCGGCGGCATAGTCTATACAAGGATATTGATGCTTCGACGAGTTATATGTGTACAATTCTTTCTTTCAGGCGTAAGGGTATATTGCTTTCTGGCTCAATAGCAAGTGGAAAGTTATCGGTAAACTACCACGCATAGCCCATATCCAGCAGGAAAAATTGGATCGGAAAACAGCGTATGGTGTTTCCTTTGTGCCAATGATAGTACTGGACTGGATAGATTACGGAATCGGTCATTAATATGCCGAGGCCGCTGGAAACTTCGACGTTTGATATGGGTACCCAACAGTTTGCTGCATTACGACTAGGATATTTTACCCAAAATAATCACTATTTATCCAATTCTGAGGGCCTATAGTGTCGTGTTTCTACTACCGGGGGTCGTGTCTCGTATTCGGATATTATATGCCTATTATTCTATAATACCCTTGTTCTTATTGAGAACTTGATATAACCTCTGTATAGCTGCTGTGACTGTATTTATGGAGTTGTTAGATTAACTATGCCACGGGGGCTACCCTCGATATCTCAATTAAGGGCAGATTGAGATAAATCATATCTCGGTGGTACTTATCACCGATTCACTGCAAAGGACATTCATAGTAGTCAGAGATCTACCCTGTCTCAGAAAAAAGAAATTCTGCCTACTATCTATTAATGTGCCCAGATATAGAATGCTAGAAATTAAACTTTTCTTTTTATTCTGCACTATCTAGGAAGTCAACATACCCGACAAGGCTATTCATCCAGGGTACTTTAGGCGTTCCGTATACCAAATTTATCAAGAGATAGAGAGTATTACTTACCGTAGGCGGGTAGGTAACCGGTTTTCTAGTTTAGGCTCTTCAAGGGACCTAGAGTGAACAAGCTTAAACTAATTACCTTGACTCTCATAGAATAACCAGCATGAAAGATCTCTTAAACCCTTTCCGGATGGGCCTTGAATGGTTAATTACGTTCTGGTGCATATTTACTTCTCTGGGGTGTCCGAATTTCTTCACTGGGCTAGAATATCACTTTTTATTACAGGGACTCATAGAGTATCACTCGGCTGAATATGCTGAGTCTTGGCTTCCGTAGACCGGTTACATAAGAAGTTTGGTATATATTTGCCAATCAAAATATTACTGTTATATTTCCGGATTCGGGTGTCTTATAAGTGTTAGATGGCTAAAGTCTCCATTAACGTCGACGTCAATATCAACCCTACTGATCTCTACACATGTATTGCGAGTTGTCAAGTTTGTGTGGTTGCGACACGAGCGTCTAGATAAGTTTGATAACCCACAATAGTTATAGCTAAGCATGCATATGGACTAGGACTGGATTTAGCTGCTATTATAATACTTACTACTACGAGAAAACTAACTAGCTAGTCAAGTCATCTGAACCCAAGATGGGAACAGGCCTAAGAAACTACAGGGTTTAAAGTCTTGATTAGAGCATTTTGGCAACAGCACTTTTCCGAATTTCTAGGTCGAAATTTGAATTCTTGGCTCTGCGCCGCTAGAAGCGATTCCGTTGCTTGTTTGGTGTGAAATCGCAGCAGAGGATATGTGCTGTTGCCAACATGCTCTATTAAGGGTACAAATGTTTAAGCTGCCACTAAGTAATGCGACTCTCGAACTAATAACGCTAAAAACAGCCCACTAACACACATATTAATATTCAACACAACACAACACCCTAGATGAGTAGATTTTCGTGGTATTGAAGGCGCAGTACTCTAGATGCAAATATAGAGGTATATTCTCCATAAGATGCGATGTGTATCAATGATTGAGCTAATACAAAATTTGATCTGTGTTTGATGTCAGCGCCCTCGTATCAAATCGGTACGTCGAGTTGAAACCTTAGCCCGATAATATACCAGGCTTCTATAGAGTGGATTGTCTTCTGCTGCTTTAGACGAAAGAAAAAGACTATCCGTCTCACCTATTTGGTATGTTCTATAATATTAGAAAGAGATACTTATAGAGTTACCTTGCTTTGGTAGCAACGGCCTCACAAAATTTCTCAGGACTTAACGCGCGAGTAATATCAACACTATTTGATACCATGCTCCTTAGATAATACACTTGGCGAATTTTACTGCCTTTTTAAATAAGCCTCCCTAGCAAGTAAACGGCCTGGCCATAACAATAAAGTTTTGAAAGAATCACTCGAGCCTGTAATGAAAGCCTAGGACTCTGCGCGGTTAGCGGGGCAGCCTTATTTCTGCTGCGGCTAAGGTGTAAGGCAAAGTTGAAGTTGTATTCTCAACTGCGAATTAGGTTAACGATCTTGGCCGGCAGTGCGCTGGCGCTATATGCAGCTGCACAGCGAAGCGCCCCGCTCTGCCAATGAGCTTGATTCTTACGAAACGCAGCCTGACACAGAGTCACATGTATAGAATACATATTTGAACAGGTATGTACTACCAGTTTTATAATTCTCTCTCCGCCCACCGAATTTTACTTACTGCTGAGAGGATAGCCTCGAGGCTTCTGCCATCTATCTGAATTCTTTCACCTTTTTCATGGCTTTCAAAACTGTTTTCCGGGTTCGCGGTATACCCGAGGAAGTGACACTCGACGCCTTGGGGGGGGGGGGGGGGGGGCTCTTTCCAGGGTGGATGGAAACGAGGAATTGAAAATAAAAGCAACAATTGCTCCTTCATGTTATAACAGGACACAAACTGCTCTTGTGCAGTTCGACCCCCTCCCAAGCTACCTGAAGGATTCTAGCAATGTGGATTTGGATAGCTACGACATGGAGGTAGAGACAGATGCGGGGGAACTATTCGATATAACCATAGATAAGAACTTCTTCGGGCTGACTCAGCTCTACCCCACAAAGACCGACGATATCACGGCAGAGTAGGATTGCACTGGGTTGTCTACGAGTATTTATATCAGAATAAAGAGCTAATGTGTATACACTGGCTTTAGTATTGTGGCTGTAACAACACTTTCTGCTCATGCGTTTGAATCATGGAGGGGGAAAGGCGACCTGGGTAGAATGTGGCTTCGCGACTTTCTTTCCGTCGGCCTTCCAAACTGTAGGACCATGACATATGGTTATTACTCAAGGCTCTGTAGCCCTGGAGTCCACCAAATCAGGGATTATAGCCGTGGTTCCTTGGAGGAACTAAAGAAGGCCAGAATGTCAGAAGAAGTTGTTGGGTTTTGTTTCAACGTTTCTTCCCGATACTTCACTATTAAGGATATCTCATCCGGCCCTCATATGTATATACTACCATATCTTTTATCGATATCACATCTCTTAAAATGCCAGCGCATATATGTATTACCAATGATCCTAACCTATGGTGTCTTTAGGAAAGGAAAAGGCCAATTATTTTTATAGGGCATAGTTTCAGTGGTATCATCGTTGCGCAAGTAATCCCTTACTCTAAATCGATACTTTTTCCAGATAGATCTATTTAAATCGGAGATATATACGCGGGATACCCTTCATTAGCTAGACTCAAATCTTTATCCTTCAATAAGTTTAAGAGCTAATTGATGGGTTTGAAGCTAACATAATGGTGAAGTCTCTGGTTAGAAGCAAGGAGTGTAACCCGCATGATGACCCTGGCGTTTATTCTATACATCAGGCAACCTACGGCGTAATCTTTTATGGAACCTCACATCGTGGATTTCTAGTAGACGATATCCTTAGTGTGCTTGATCCCGAAGAACATTCTGACAAAGCCAAGCTTTTCAACTCGATCAATAAAAGCTCCGATTTACTCCATTCGGAGCTGGAGAGATTTGTTGATTTTGCAATGCAACTACGTATCATCAGCTTCTACGAGCGATTCAAAACTCGAAGACTAGTCCAGGTGGGTAATTAAGAAACCGAGTACCTTGCAACTCCCCACAGAAGTTTATAGTGTATTTTAGGGGAAAAACGGCTTTGCAAGGACTGGAGAATACATTACTACAGTCGATACTGATTCCGCACTACTTCATCTTGGTGCAGCAGTCGAGAAGAAAATACCAGTTGATGCAGATCATACTGAGATCGTCAAGTTCAAGAATAGGCAGAACCAAGCTTATTCAAGTACAGCGGTGGGTAATAAGTCATCAGACGGAACGCCACCAAAATACACGTTTGCAGGCAAAATTGTGGCTAGGTCGTCCGATGACTTATTACCCACCGCTGTACTTTACTTTACCTCCAGGAGTTTGAAAGAGATTTAAAAATACGAACTTCGATGTCATCTGGTAGATACTCAAAGCTCCCATCGTTGATCCGGATTAATTAATTAGATATCAAGAGCCTTTCTCGCTGACATGAAACACAAAAAGCTGTAAGGGATTCTTCACCATCGCTTGGGATGCACTTTGCGGTAGCCTTGAAGCCCCAGAAAGATGTGGTAGGCGTTCCCTAAGTACTCACAGTAATAGTCGGGAATGATCCTAGGAGGCTCGAGTTAAAGTCTGGACTAGTAATTGTGGCAGATTAATATTATCAAAGGGGAAAACAATGGAATTTTATCACCTGATTGCACAGCCGACCTACCTCCAAGGTCAACCAAGCACGCAGCGTGTTGACTGCGGAGTGCCTCAACTATATACTCCGCCTTTAGAGTATTCAGTCAAGCTTCTGGATCAATTGCAATATGGTAGCGAGCAGATGTCTTTTAAACTTGACGGGTTAAATTCGGAGAAAATCATGGCCCTAAACCCACAATTATACACTCCGGATAAGTCGCACCCTTTCAGAGGGATATGGATAGGTTAACTCTTCGAGAATCCTCGTAAACATTTTTTCTTACCACTACTAACTTTTGTGTTGTAGGTCTATATCCGAAGGACGATACACGCGCAAGCATAATGTTTGTGAATATCAGCACTTTCTTTTTCACCAGCCCGCCGAGAACAGTTTAATAATCATAAAGATCACCGGCAACGCCAATATTCGAGGAGAATCATGTGTGTTTTCTACTCTCCCGAATACTCCTCTCCCGAATACTCCTCTCGCCTCTGGTCTACTTGTCAATGCAAAGATGCAATCCTGCAACGCCTCACTACAGTTCTGGAGTACCTGGGAGGTGACGTTGCGTGGTAAGTATGATTCAGAATTCGCAAGGGTAAATGTTGAGGAATTTTTGCCGGGATAATAGGTTTTCTATATAACTTTTGGTGTAGTGATGGTGCTACAATTAGCTGTGGTGGTGGCGGGGACATATTCTTTCTGAAATAAATATGTGTGAGTAAATACATACTCTATGGCACTAGATTTGGTTTATTAGAAGTAGGGTTTCTGGCCTTGGTTCGAAATCCTGGATTGTGATGATACGGGTCGATGTCTTTCGGCGGGGGTGAGGTGCAGACCACATTCGGGTTGATACAAGTGCTTCTTTATATAGAATTCTTCCCCCTCCACTGGAACACTCCCCTCAGTAGAAAAACTATACCCAAGAAGGAAAATATAGTCGTTGCAACTGTCCTCGTTACCTCTTGGACCGGTTTTGCTCACAAAATAACAGCGTCCATTCTAGTGAATATCGAATCTAAATGATGTGTACATTATACGTTTACATTTAACGCCTGAGCAAGACGGTGTTCTTTTACAGTCATGGTTGATCACTCGATATTTCCTGATGTTTCATAATTTTTATTCATGTGATTTGGCTGGTTGGCGCAATGGTAGCGCGTGGTCCTCCTAAGACCGAGGTTGAGGGTTCGAGTCACTTGCTGGTCGTTTCGTTATCTCTCAGCTGAATTGCCCTGGCAATCCAAGTTGTAAATCCTTTTGTTGATTTATAGGGCTTATAGTTTTTTTTGTTCTTCCGAGGAGAGGCAGTTTAGCACATTGACAGAGGGGGTTTAAGCTTTATACTGCATGAGAACTTAAATCAATGGGGAGAGGTCTCGAAGTTAACGGTTTGAAGAAGCGCAAAAGGTTAATGTGATCACTGGTTCTTGTTTAGTTAGGGCTTTATAATTTAGTGACAAGGTAACGCCCAGCGTGATCGCGGGAGGGTGAATTGAGGAAGGTGTAAATAGGGCCCACACTAGCTTGATTGATTGATTGATTGATGATTGTTTCACACTGGAGCCTATTGCGTAGTACCTATATATCAGTAGATCATTACTCAGCCTCCGTCCAAGGCGTACCATTCATTCGGTTCAAGTGCTTGTAAGGTTAGTACGTATTCGAGATTTCGATCGAGGCCTCTAGATATGTAGTATGTGGGTTTATCGAGTGTTGACCACCACTGGTAAACTGGGCTATATGTCAATTAAAGATCAGTGATCAATCTTGTAGAATTCGAAAGGCAGTTGTTGAAAAAACGCCTTAATAACTGTAATAAGTCCTATTACCCTCTTTAGAGATATCGGTATCATCGCCAAGAAACTAGGATACGGATGAGGCTTCGAACTAGACGATATGTAACGACGCCTACGTACTACTAACCACCGACAAAAGCAGCCAATGATGCTAATTGCGCTGGCAGTGTAATAGCAACTGGATGCTCTCTAGTAGGTAGTACATCTCATCGACCAGCCAGCAGATAACCAGATACCTACATTTCCTGCAAGGCACAAGGCGCAAACCCAGACATACCATTCGCAGCAGCAGCCTTGTGCACACTACCTGGTCCACCTCACCCAGCGCCTCGGCAAGCGTTACGCACGCTGACTGTTGGGACCCTTGGCCTTGGCACATGCCTGTTCTGGAGTTACGCTCACCGCATCAAGACCGTATGTAATTGTGAGGACAGAGTTTTGTACCAATCGACCAACCTCTGCGCCCCCCTTCTCCGTGCTTTTGAATCTTCAGCCTTGTTGCAACTCTTCGCTTGTCAAACGAGTTTGGTAAGTATATAATTGTTGACACCTCTTCTTCCTAGTCCTTCTCCTGATTCTCTTCAACTCCTGTGCGCACCACTCACTGACCACTCTGATCCAGACACGCTGGTCTCTAACACACCTGCAGCCCGTCGCAAGCAGCGCCAGATCCACCCCCGCCCAAGCCCCGCCGCGCAATGTCGACGAAAATCTCTTTCGCGACATTTCTGATCATCTGCCGTGAGTTTTCTGCTTCTGCCCTTCTACGCATGCACTGACGCGATACCTACTGACACCGTGAAAACAGCGACATGTTTTTTCCTCGGGATTCTGTTCACAAACTGGTCCTACGACCACCACACTCTCTGGAACGGCATCGCTCCCTCTGAGCCCATACTTGCTGCCATCGAGTCGCACTACCGGCTCCTGAGCTCTTCACCCCCCATCATAATCCGCGTGCTGCACATCATCGTCGCCGTTGGGCTCCTCGGCTTCATAACAAAGCTGTACAAACCATCCGAGTCAAACATGCTCTTTGACGGCGCTAGTTTGGTCCTGTACATGATTGGGCTCATCATGTACGCCACAAACGTGGTACGCGGACTGAAAACAGTTGAGAGTGGGGAGTATGGTGAGGAGGTCGGCAGAGTTGACACTCTGCGGGTGCTGGCGGCGAGTCAAGTGATTCTGGCTCTTGTGCTTGTGGGCGTGTTGGTGCTGCAGAGTGGACAATGGTACGCAGAGAGGAAGGAGAGCGAGGAGGTGAGGGTTATGGAGTTGGAGGAGGAGGCGAAGAGAAATAATAAAGGGAAGAAGAAGAATTAATGTAAGATAGCTGGGGATCGGGATTTTTGTGTTGTGTGGATCTCTCTTTTTTGTGGGAATGCATGGGGGTGTGGTTTGGTGATTGATGTGAAATGTCGTGATTTGCCATTTACCTATGCCTTGGTTGTCTACATACATCTTCTTACCAAAATTTCTCTACTCTGCGCCGGAAATCCACGCGAAATACGCACCTTGCGGTGAAATATTCTCCGTAAAATTCAGTCCATACAGCCGAAACCGTTCAACAAATTTCCCATGCTTTTTTGTAATCCCTGTACGTCCCATCATCAATAGATCTAACCCTGACCCTGTAACCTGTGTAATTTCACAAGTATGGACAAAACGTATGTAACTCGAACAACCAACGAACGACTGCCAAGGCGTCAATACTTACTAGCTGAACCATCATACAACATAGGAGCCGTGGAGTACTTGTGTCTCCGTGGGATTCACGGACCACAACATTAATACTATCGAATTTTATACCCCTACATCACCGCCTTTGCGTGGTTTCGTGGTGTAGTTGGTTATCACACAAGTCTAACAACAGTTTCACTTGTGGTCCCCGGTTCGAGCCCGGGCGAAATCATGTCTAAGGCGCTTTAAGAACGTGTTGTATGATTGGAGGAGCCTCATCTTTTTGTGGGTGGATCGTTCGTTTTCATATGTAGATTAGGGGGTGGTTGTTGGTCATAACGCATCACTCGTTTAGGCGTTTCCCCCCGGTTTGTTGGTTTTTTTTTTTTTTTTTTGTTTAATTCATTGATTGCATTCGGTTTGTTGGTTAAATTCACAAGGATGAAACCACAACGAGGAGGATTATCGGTAATGTGGGCAATATAACAGGGCATCCCGGTGGTCGATCTAAAGCATTTATGACTTGCGCTAGGAGTTTCGCATCGCTCCCCTCCAGACACAGTGCTATCCAACTAGGAGCGCTCCATACTACAAGGCATGTGTCTTGTAGGCACATCTACGTGCCAATTTCAGTATTATCTAAAAAGGAGATACCATAAGGACATTTTATAAAGGCATTAAAAGATGCTTATGGCTAATTTATTAGTGTTTGACACAATGTAGAAAATATTTTTATATCATTATCTTGGGGGTGGAAGTTCTATAAACTCTCAGATTGTTACTACAGTGCCGTAGTTCTCTTAAACCTGCAAGTAGTTATAGCTCCCTTTGGAATTTATTCTCAGCATTGTTGACCTGTGGTTCAATTTCGGTACAAAGTCACTTACTTCTGAGTTTCCTTATAGCCCAAGTAGAAATACTCACATAACATTTCTGGCTCTTCACGACAATAGGTTTGAAAACAGACTCAAAACCAGTAGTTCAATTACTTGGACCTCCCATGGTTTTTTAGCTGGTGCCAAGACGCAAATTTTCTTTCACCAGGTCCGATGATTCTTGGCAACATTTCCCGCCTGTATTGCCCGCCGAGGTGTAATCAACAAGCCCCAAAATCAGTGGTTTCGTGGTGTAGTTGGTTATCACACAAGTCTAACAATAGTTCCACTTGTGGTCCCCGGTTCGAGCCCGGGCGAAATCATTTTTGTATCAGTACCTTTGTACCTTGGAGCTTGAGATTCTTCCTCCTTGTTGTTTTCGTCCTCTGGGTGGATGGGCGTGGGCATGCTGATATGACCGAACCTAAGTTAGCTGTACGATGGCTGGAATCTAGATAATTTGAGCTAAACATCATTTGTTCACCCTCACAATGCTCTAGATCTATATACAAATCCTGATGGCGGGAATCTGTTACTCCTGAGGGTGTCAAAGAGAACTTATTAGCCATAGTTGCGTTGTGAGTAATCTCACAAGTGGATATGTCCCGTTATTACCCACCAGCGCCGAAGCACCCCTATATCCGTATCAAAAAGTTGTTAGAGATTGATTCCAGCGCGAAAAATCGATAAATATTTCTGAAACTAGATAACCTCGTGGCGCTCATGGCCAAATAGTTTAAGATGGTGCATGACAGATTGCTTATCTTTGATAATCAAAGCCAAAAGTGGTGCCTGTCCGACTCTTGCTTACACCGTGTCCTGTAAAGCGCACACACCATGAGACTAATTGACTAAACGCATCGGACACAAGCCAATTGAATAATCTTCAAACGATGCACATCATCCATACAGTGCACATCTAAACAAAGGCATAGAACAAAGGCGACAATCCAGGGTTAGGGTTGATGCCTCGACAACAATGTATAAAGAAGTGGCCTACCTTCGTTGGGCCTTTGTACTAAAAAAATATCAAAGATCAAAAATGGCGGCAAACGGCACATCGAGTAAGCTCATAGACAAACTTGGTCCAGACGGGGCGGAGAAAAAAAGAACACGCATGCCGAAACGCATCATGAGAAGGACGAATGAGACGCCGCTGGAGTATTTGAAAGTCATGGAGGATATATACAAGAATCTACACGATAATTTGAAATTACCAGCGAAGACTTACGACCAGGAGGCCGCTGCTGCGGCGGTTTCATATAAGGCAAAGATGTCGGAGTTGGTGGACAAGGAATATCTTAGGCCAGGTTCGAAAATGGATACAATGACAAACAGCTTGCTTGGTACCATCACTAGGACGGTCAATGGGCAGGCAATTATGGTAATTCGTAAGTTGGCTATACACTCTCCTTTGGTCGCTGCAGGTACCAAACCTATATTGTGACGGATAAATCATTGACACAACCAGGGGCTGCACGCTGGATATCATATCAACAAGACCACATAGATCCTCAATTTACCTCGAATGTCGCAGACCCTATAATATCTCTCCTCTTCAGTTGTCTGGGCCCCAGTCCTCATCAGGTGGCCGCTGACCTCGTCGTGCAATGGCAGCGGTACCATGAAATTGCTCATACATTTGGATGGCGTTATCTCACTGTCCTTGCGTTCTCAAACAGGTTCAGGGAGTACGCCTTGAAAGCAGAGGAGCAGAAATGGGTTGAGTGGCTCAACTACGCCGACGATGCACGGTTGAGTATTGAGGTTCTCGGTTCGTTCTACTGCCCTGCATGGCGCGACGTCTTGAGGCGGGGATTGGGGGGGATTGATATGAAACGGTTTACGGAGGATGAAGAAATGGTGGAATATAACGGACATCATCACTTATGGGGCTTTACGATTGAAAACGATAAAGTTATGAAAGCGGAGAAGATAGTAACCTATGAGGTCATCGAGAAGGCTATAATTCGGACGGGTCTTAAAGGCGCGCCCGGCCCAGACCCAAGAGATTTGGTAAAAGAGGAGAATGCAAAGCGCTGTGTAGTTTGTGGACAGGCGATTTGTGATTGTCCGTCACATGTGTGGGCGCCCTGTTTGGTAGAGATCGTTGATGTTGGTACGAGAGGATTTGGTGTCCGGGCTTTACAGGTAAGCAGCTCACGTCATTTAGATATTGGTGCCACCGAGGCGTAACCAAATTAATTAAGGTGATCGCATAAACAACAATTGATTAACATGGGCATGCATACAGAACATTCAGGCAAAACAGTGTATTGGAGAATATATTGGCGAGATTGTAGGTGCAGGACAGGCCTTGTATACACCGGATAGTTATATGCTCAGAGGTCACATTGGTAGCAAGAATCGTCCCAACCAGGCCAATTACTATGTCACATCCAACAGGAAAGGTAGCTAGGAACCCCCGCTGGGTCGATTGGGGTGGATAAGGTTTTTTTGCAGGCGTTTATTCTCCGAAAAATACTAATGGGCATACGCTATCTTAGGAAATTGGACAAGGTTCGTCAATCACGCGTGCTACGAGTTTTCGAACTGCAGTATTGACCATCACGAATATCGAGGGAAGACGTATGCTGTGTATGTCTCACGTAAGAATATTGCAATGTATGAGGAGCTCACAGTGGATTACGGGCCGGGCTACTGGGGGAGTTCACTTTTTCCATGCTTGTGTGGTGCAAATAGACATTACACCGACAAGAATACATACAAGTGAAGGCCTAGGGGGTTTAGTTCATGATCAGCTATCACATAGAAACGCTAGTCATTACTACAGTAGTTAGATACTTTTACAAGAAGGAGTTTAACTTATCGAGACATCTGTGCCCTACGTATATGATATGTGGGATCCACTTACCACCCACCCATTTTAAACTCCCTGCAGGCCGGTTAAACTTCCTAGTATTGTGCAATTACCATGAACGTTATGAGAACGTATCTACAACCCTTGTTTCCGTAAAGAAAAAAAAAGAAGCCATCACCTCAGACACTCTCATTCTGCCTCTTCGGTAGAGTACCACGAGAACTTAGCCGAAACTTGGATAAATAGAGCCGCCTAAGGTTCCTTACTGCAAGGGGCAAATGCAACGTCTGGAACACTAAATATGTGAATGGGGAGAGTACTTTCGGAGTAGATAGCATGGAATTGAAACCCCGTGGATAAAGCGGGGAAAGGGAAGCTGAACTGTGGGGTTAGAGTTAACCTCGCCTAGCTCAGCCGAAATCAGATTTTGTGGAGTTGTGGGGTGTTTAATTTGGTGCCGATGTGATTTAAGAACATCTAGTAAACTTGTGGGGTGCATGCAAATTTAACTCAACGTTGACTGATACGAATTCTGTACAAGGACGTAGGTGAGATAGCGAAAGGTTTTGGCCGGGTTGATAGATAAACTGTTGTCTTGTGAGCAGTTAATATATGTGGAAGAGTGGTTAGGTATGTATACCTACAATATTCTTGTATTGATGCAAACTGCAGGGCGGCCGTCGAACTTGCGGCAAGATTACTTGGTGTTGTGTCTCCGGGCTGTATACTAGCTGATATCGACCGGTCACTGCAAGTATCATACCAGAGACAGACCCACCCTGTATTCCGCCACTGTAGCCGAATATCGGCAATGAAGGCACAAGAAAATAAGAGGCCCGAGTAGCGGAGAATTAGTGGGCATGACCTTTTAAAATATTCCAAAGCAGGGAAATGATGAGGGTGAGACCACCGACTAACAATATGTGAGCCGGAAAATTTGCCACGGATCCCCATCACATCGTGACTTCAGCCGGGAAAGAGCTCGAATTCTGCATGATATGATTGAAAGTCCAGGGTAAGGCATACATCGAGAAACATAGTTCCAGGATCCATGCTTTATAGATGCGCCTGATGGGAGTTTAAAATAGTATTTAATGGCCTTCTACCCCCATCACTTGATCAGACACAGAGAGGCTCCAAAGCTTATTTCTCCACTTTCCCTCATCCTAGTCAATCTATCTTTCAATTTTCAAGATGGGAGCTGGCGGCGCAATTGCACCCACCTCCAATGTTCTCGGGGGCCAGTCTTTCCCGCTGGTGACTTGGTACAAGGACCCTGGTCTACGTAAACTTTACGCGTTGCTTGCTACTGTTATTCTGGTCTCTGCTACCAATGGTTTCGATGGGAGCATGATGAACGGATTGCAGACTGTTGTTAATTGGAAGGAGTGTATGTTCTGCTAGCTCTATCATTGGCTGCTTGGTTAGCTAGTTGGCTACTAATTTATACTAATTGAAATGGGATCAATAGACTTCGAACCAAGCCCAGCTATGAGAGGACTTCTCAACGCGATCATGTCTGTGGGTTCGATGTGTGCGATTCCCATCTCACCATGGCTAGCGGACTGGAGAGGCAGGAGAGTTGCCATTATCATTGGTGTGTTGATAATGTTTGTCGGTGTGGCGCTTCAAACTGCGAGTGTGGCGTTAGGGATGTTTATTTTCTCCAGGTTTTTGGTAGGCCTCTCCCTTGTTTGCCTATTCTAATATATCATACGTGATAATTAAACATTTGTGCTTATAGATCGGTTTTGGAATTTCACTTGCACATGGTGCTGCTCCTCTTTTGGTAACTGAGCTTGCTCATATGCAGCACCGTGCTCGTATCACATCTCTCTACAACACTACCTGGTATCTTGGTTCTGTAGGTTTCCCAATCTCATACTAATCCCCATCTTGATTAATTTCCAATATCTAACTCTATCAGATTATCGCTGCCTGGACCACCTATGGTACTTTCCGTATCGACAACACCTGGTCCTGGCGTATTCCCAGCATTCTCCAAGCCGCCCCCGCCGCCGTAATGTTGACCTGCATCTGGGCCGTTCCCGAATCCCCACGTTGGCTCATTTCACGAGACCGCCATGATGAAGCCCTGGAGATCCTCGCTCGCTGCCATGCAAACGGTGATCGCAACGACGAGCTCGTCAAGTTCGAGTTCACCGAGATCAAGGAGACCATTGCTCTCGAGTCCGAGTTTGCGAAGCGTGGTATCTCTGAACTGTGGTCGACCAAGGGAAACCGTCATAGGATGACAATTTGTATCTGCGCTGGACTGTTCTCGCAACTGTCTGGTAACTCGCTGGTCTCGTACTATATCGGTGATATTTTAGAACAGGTGGGCATCGAGGATAGTGAGACACAGAACTTAATTAATGGTATCTTGATGATCTGGAATATGATTGTTGCTGGGTCTATGGCGTTCGCTGTAGATAAGGCAGGTCGTAGGCCTCTGTTTTTGGGGTCAACCTTTGGGATGATGATTACATTTGTTGCCTGGACCATCGCCTCTAAGTTTGCAGTTGAGCAGAAGAGTAGTGCTGCAGGGAGCGCAGTTGTGGCCATGATTTTTATCTATTATACTTGTTATAATATGGCTTGGTCTGGGTTGTTGATTGGGTACACGGTCGAAATTCGTAAGTCACGTCGATCATTAGCCAGTATTGAGATGAAAGACTAACTTAATTACTTAGTTCCATATGAGATTCGTGCTAGAGGAATGGCAGTCATGTTCTTATTCGTTAACTTGGCACTGTTTTTCAATAACTATGTCAACCCTGTAGCCCTCACCGCGATCAGCTGGAAGTACTACATTGCATACTGTTGCTGGCTGGCTGTCGAACTCACTGTCGTCTACTTTGTAAGTTTTCTTGACCAATCTATTGCAATAAACGTTGCTAATTTTCTAATAGCTTTTTGTCGAAACCCGTTACACACCGCTTGAGGAGATTGCTAAATACTTTGATGGCGAAGAGGCCCGTGTTGGTGGAGATGCTGCCCCAGAGTACGCTAGGCAAGTTCTTGGCGCACTTGAGGAGAAGGGCGCGGTTGAAAGAGTTACCAGCTCCTACTCACATCCTGAGAAGGTGTAACCTGTCAGTTACACAAAAAGATGAATTTTGTATCATGAGTGCATGGATTTAATTTTACCACCATTTAATTAGTTTGTGTAGAGGGATCTGATGCGCTTTCTCCAGTTATGTTCAGCATAAATAAAGTCTCTATCCAACTAAACATGTGGGCCCATAACTAGGCCCAATCGTACTTTTCCAAGGTGATGCCAGGAACAAATTACCCACAATCTCACCATAGTAACATACTCTACCCAGGTACCTGGGTTGTGCAAGATATATTTGGTCCGGAGCCATGTTGCGTCCAATTAAAACCATAAACTATCACTCGATCAGCTGACATACGACGTCTGTCTCAGCCCCCAGTACCCCATCATCCGGCTAGCAACAGCTCACTGTGCATCTGAATCATTAACCCCATTTCCTTTACAGAATCGAGCTGCTGATAGCTACTCATGTATAGGACTGGTAATGGCGCCACCTGTCGCTACTAACCCATTGACCTGACCCCCCCCACACGCACTAGGGCTTGTGATACTACCTTTATCCTTGCGATAGTCGCAGGAGGAGATGATGGTGAATAAGAAATCTCTCTGATATGTTTCAGATATAATTTCGCTTGGTTTTGCGGCCTTTCTGCTTCCATTCGCAGATCACAGCGGGCCAAGGGAGCACGACTTTAACATGTTTCCTTCGATTTATGCTGCAGCCTTGAATCTAATACATTCGGCCCTCTTATTAGATGGTATTTGGGTAGGTTCTGTATGTGGGCCGTATCCCTCTTGCTGATTGATTGAGCCAGTCAGCCCATCAAGCTCTCACCATGAACACGTCTATGATTTTTCTTCGAGGAGGGGGTAGGGGTGGGGGGTTCCAGTACATACATACATACATACATACATACGCAATAGATATTCGCCTTTGAATAAATAGGAAACTACCGGGAATTACATTCGGTATATATCTAGTCCTGTACAACAATATATTGTTGTCGCCGTCGCCGCCCAAATATATCTCCTCGGAGTGTTTCACCTCTTTGATTCCTCCCCCTTCCCGCGATCAAGTTTGTAACCAACTTCACAGCATCGATCGGTGATTTATTCAGGGTTTTTTTTCGGTTAGAATAAATGTAAATTACTGATATGCGTCGGCGACCTTTTCATGCAACCTTCCGATATCCAGTATCGTTCGTCTGCTATAGGTTCCACGGCCACGATGGCACGAGTGTCTGGGAACTCGCACAACTTCGCACACAGCCTCGGCAGATACGTTTGTGGGTGTAGTTACTAAGTTAACTGTAACTTGTTGACAGGTGTCTATACCTTTCCTCGCATGTTATCACTTAAAAGATAAATTGAACATTTTCCATTAACGAAATCGCCGTACTTACACAAGACCACGGATTGTTACTGTGCATGTAAGCAAAGCAAATCAGAGCATATCGGTAAGCCCATCTGTCAATGACGGGAAATGCTAGAAAGCAATGACTGCTTCCGCACATCGCATCGATATTATCAATGTTCCCCCGTATGAGTAGTTGCAGTACATAGTGTCGCCCCTTCAATCAGGCATATCAAGCCCAATGGGGGCTACCATGCTTCCATGGTAACACAAGATACCACCCACCAGCCATAACAAGCATCCGGAATCTTTTCGGGAAAAAAGAGCCCAAAATAAGGCCGTACTTGTAGTGTCACAGCAAAAACCCGAAGTGAAACAAATGGTTTCGGAAATGCGAGAATAAGCTTTCGCTGTTGTCGTGGGCCAGCTGCACCGTATCATCTCCCAGGATCGCCAGGGAGAAAAGGGATACATGAGCCGACCGCGGGGAGCCGCAGTGCAGCCCTAAGTACCGATAAGAGTTCAGACGAATCAGAGTCAGAGTATCATCTCGAGAGATCTGATCACAACCTCACTCTCCTCAATCCCTCAACGGCGGCACGGGTTTATCTCGATCCCGCACCTAGCCTGGCAACATGCTCCCTTTCCTGCGAGTACTTATTTGATAACGCACCGGAAGCAGTTCTCCGGCGTGCTTTACGTACTGCTCTCATTAGGGCAATATCGGAACAATAAGCGTCCTCTGGCCTGGCCGAAATGTTCATCCCATCAGTTGGTTTATATTCTTCCCCACTCACCGGTCGAGCGGGTATCAATCAATATGAGTATGTCTTAATATTATCATCAAGCTGCATGCGATCATAGAGTGCCTCCTCTATCATTATGTCCCAATCCCCCATATATATTGCTTTCATGAATTGGTCGATTGCCCTAATTGCTTCCGGTACCTGAGAATCATTTAATTTTGGGCTAGAGCCTAGATTTTCAGTAAATCAGTATGTATACCTACACAAATACCTGATTTGCGTCATTTTCGCTTACCGATGAATAGGACGTATCTCTGATGTTTCAACTAGTTCCCCTCTTGAAAGTTCATTACTTTCCCCATGCATGAGACCGCTGTCGATTGAGTCTCATTACAATTTTAGGGCCAACTTTCAGTCTCTTCATTCCCTAGCATAGCTCGCCGGTGATCAAGAAAACCATTATCAGTTGGCCTTACACCCCCACCCCTTCCCCCGCACGGATACACCACTCTAGATGAAACTAGAATATCGGTGAAGTCATGAAATCACTCCTCAAGATCTTCAATCCACTCCTCAGTCTTGTAACACAAACCCCGAAGTTGGTTTTGACTATCACATGCTGAAATCGGATAGACGTGCTCTTTCGTGAGTGATTAAATTCCGCATAGAAGCTGTTATTCAAACCGAATGACCGTTGTATTGTGAATAGGATGAGCGTTGCAGTATATTCTGCTTTCTCCGCATGGCTGCTGTTCCCGAAAGTAAAACTCGTACGAAACAGGCTCCTGGGCTATTATGGATGCTCATGTTTCTCGGGGGAGAGAAGGATGATGATGATGATTCCATTGATGTAATAGCACTCTAATGTTGATCGAATGTCTCATGATTCGAATATGTCCCTGGCACATGTGGGGAGGTAGGGATCTGCGCTCTCCTCGTGGTGTCTTCCAAAGGTTATTTTGACGTTGCTAGCGTGCTCATCAATACCTGATGAAGTGACGTCTAGATCCCTGGGCCGGACTTAGCCGTACTAGTTGTTTTTTCTAGTTCCTTTTCGAATAAAAAAGCCCAATTACGTGGCCGAGTGATAGTTTATGACCTGAAATTTAATTTGGCACCCCCCCCCGGCCCGGAAACTTCCGGTGTGGCGCCGAGGCCCGCAGTGAGCTATTTGTGGTAACAAACACCAACTACATCATTTATTATCTGCTTGCAGATCATTGACAGCTCGACCACTGATCATTCGTTTCGTTGAATCCGGTTTTTGTTTGCAGAAGTGTCGTTCAGGTTTACAAATGACAAGTCAGTGGTTTATTGGCTAACAAGTTTACTTGGATTTTCTACTGCATCGAGCATTAGACGGGCCGGCCGATCATGATCACATCGATAAGTATCAAGGCAATCATGGACGTGGCAATGATCGGTTTTGAATAAGGTTGTCATCAGAAAACTCTCAGATTATATCAAGTGATAAGCTAACTAACTATCAAGCGCTCCAAAATTCAAATGCAGATGCAAAGGGGGGATAAAATAAAAATAAAAATAAAAATAAAAATAAAAAAAACCAATAATAACAAAACACCCGCTATCCATCCGCCAATGCATCATAAACTCATAAATTCGTAAGGTAGTCTGGGTATCAATAGAGGGTATCGTTGAGTACACAAGAAGAAAAGAGTACCACAAAATTAAAAAATCGCTCCTTTCTAAATACCTTAGTAGGGAAGAAATAAAATCCAGACCCCAACCTTTCCTCATGTTCCTGCGGCTAGAAACTAAAGGAATGAAAAAACGTAAACGAGTGACAGTATCAAACCAGAATAAGACTACACGCCAGGTGTATGAATGTATCCAAAACCCCAAAACCCAAAATCAAACTCTAAAACTCCAGTCCCAGCAACTCCCACATTATTAACCCCCTAATACATGACAACCACAGTACCACAGGTCATGCTCGTATCTGACTTTGCTGACTTTGTCGAGGACACATCTGAATCCAGATCTGACTTCAATAGCGGCTCACTGCTATCCCGTCCATAGAAGAACTTTTCATTGCATCTATGGTAGGCAGCTCCTCTCGAAGACACATACGAGGCTCTCTCCGGTCCACCCGAGGCCATCGTATTCCGGCGCTGGGCTCGTCTGTATGATCGCGGCCGAGAAACGGATGCACGGCGCTGGGAGTCAATTGCGTGATGCTTCTCATCGATTGTAATGACGATGCGTGCGGGGACGGAGTAATCGACCATGCAGGTGGACTTGGAAGACTTGAAGAATCGAAAGAAACACATATTGGGATATTTGTAATTAGAGTGGGTTAAGTGTGCTTAGTTTTTTGTTTGAGGAAATAAGGCTTTGAAGTAGTGTTCTGTTTTGTTTGATGATGAACCGCTAGGGTGTGTGATGTTTGATAGATGTTTGGATTGTAGTGAGTGTATGTATGTATGGTAGAAAAAGGCTGTAGGATCGGGGAGATGAAGTCGCTTTATAGATCGATTCTAGGAAGTGAAGGGTATATGAATGTAACGCGAACAACGTCCGCGCCGGAGGTGCTGAAAAGCTGGTTGGAAGGCCGAGAAAGAAAAAAAGAAAGAAAAAGCAATGTAAACAAAATGCAAATGGCAAAAATGTAAATAGAGGGCACAGCCTAAGAAAATATGTCAGCTAAGGCACACTACCAGTACTCATGCAGTAGAAACCATTCATCGAAGGATATCCATACTGCAGCGGAATAGAGAGAAAGGGTGGGGACAACAAACCCGGGAGAGAGAAAGAAAAAGAAAAAGAAAGGAAGGACGTATCAAAGAAGCTCTCAGAGAGATTTCGTTTATGGGTGTCGAGTGGAAAAGAAGCGCTTTTTAAACCTGCTGCTCGCAGTGCCGCATGCATCGATAGTTGGATGTTAATACCCTGGCAAGAGTGGAAGTAGATTCTATTCGCTACCAAAGCATCCTGCGACACGGATGTGCAGTAAATCGTGTCAGACATTTACTGCTTGGTGTACGTATGGGTGCCTACCCCACAGTGGGATTGGTGCCGGGTGTGGCGTAGTCCCAAATGAGTTTAATTTTTGGCAGTACCCAAATAAACGAGCCCAGGTAAGGTGGTAGTGTTACAGCACGCGCGCGAAAACGGAGCCGCCCACTCCAAACGAGGTCTCTCCACTCGAGAACGGGGGCCCAATATTACCAAGCTACCTACGCAAATTACCAGCGGGATGGGCAACAAATTGTGGAATAATTCATCTTGAGTAACTCGATGCGCGTGGCGAACTCAATTAAGTGAAGCCTTATCCCAGAGCCTCACGAGAGGCTGTGCTCCGCGCACCAACTTGTAACATCAATACATATGCTCTAGTACATATGCATTCCGGTCAGCAATCGTGAGTACATCTCTAAGCTCAAGGGGGCACTGTGGGTGTTGGTACATGTAGGTACGGAGGTATGTAGTCCTCTTTGAAAAACTTATACAAATGATCACCTCATAGGCGAATATCCCCCACCGATATCTCTGGCTTGTAATGACCATAGCCTAGAGTAGATAGCACCCGAAAAATCACGATAAGCTGGCTGTAAGATTAGGGTGAAAAAAAAATCCTAAATCTATAAAAGGAATACACTAAATTCGGTACCTGCAAGAGTAAAAGTACATCTTCCACCGATTCGACGTCGACGCATGCAAGCCCATCGCTTCCATTCCTACCACGTTTATAGACTACTGCAGTCAATGATCTCTCCCGAGCCATGTCTCGCCTATAAAAGACGAAAGCTAAAGGTCAGGGGGCTCTGAAACAACTTTCCGTAAATGCAGGCCAGCGCTGGAGACCTTATTGGGTGAAAGACGTTATTTGACGTTTCCACTGGCGGGCCTTTACCATTGATCAATCTTATCGATTGATACCGGATACGTGGGTGGTGCGTTTTTTCCCCTCTCTTCCCGTCTGTCTGTGTAACGCGCTTGCCAAAAAGTGAAAGTACAAAGCTTTCTGCCTACTCATAGGAATCGTGAGATCGCGCCGTTTTCTAAAATCCAAGACGGCGATTCAGCACAATCCGGGGTTTGAAAGCTGCTGCAGTAAGAAATTTGTTTTTTTCTAAGAGGTCCAAACCAACTCTCTTCCTTGATCAAGTAAAGCTTGTTCCTGTGTCTTCCACGACCGCCGACCGCGCTTGTGAAACTTGGTTAACGTTAATAACCGCGCCACACTGAAATTGTAGAAGCAAACAACCTCATTGAACTTCAACGCGCGCTTATTTGGGACAAAGTCATAGTCGTTAATTAACCCGGAGATCTCTCCATATTCTTGTTTCAACCCCATCTTTTCTGTTTGTTGGTTTTTAGTCCCAAAGGCGGAAACAATCCGACATCTGGAATCTTCGTGAGACCAGCACTGGGGCATGACAGGATAGAATACGTTGGGACCAACAAAACATCTATGTATCTTGTGATTCCGGTCCAATTATTTGTTGACACCGGAAGTTTGAGAATAGGATGTAGCCTGTAGTGTACCCCTTGAAGGTGCAAACCATCTAGAAAGATCTAGGTAGCGCTCATGTATGTGCACCAGATTGAAATTCGCAAGTAAGTAAACTTCAGCTCAGTTGTGTTCAGGATCCTACTCTCAGAGGTACCTCGGGGTACATGTAGTTAGTTGCCAGCCGGTTGCGCACAGGGGGGTCTTGGCAAGATCCTGGCCACAAAATCTCGACTTCCACGTTGCTCTGTTTCTCCCCCCAGAAAATATGAGATCCAGTCCACTTCAGAAGGATGCGCATTGCGCGCCACAGGGGGAAATCATTCAAAGAAATCTATTAGCTGTCATTGTTTGCGGGAATCGGATCACAGCCCCGGCCACGTTTTACGCGTCGACGTCCCCCAGGCCAAAAGGATGATGTGGCTATCACTACCGTATCACACTCTATCCTACCTGACATGTAGCGATCAATATGTGTGTACATAAGTAGTAGGTATGCGCCGAGTGTATAAACAGGAGGAGAGAATCAATGAAAAAAATGAAGAAAACGCATCTGTTGGCAAATTTACTACTACAGTGTGTCTCTAGGCCACATAGTCAGTCATGATCAGTCCTTCGCGCAATAATTATCGAGTCACCTACTTTGCATCAAGCTACGTGTAATATAAATGACACTAGCCGGTAACCGCAGAGAAATTCCCCGAGGCTGTTAACCGAGTCGCCGTCGGTAGACATCACGGGAGATGACGCAGAATCTATCGTTGAGAGGCCCAACCAGATGCGAGTGTATTTGTTCAATGAACTGCCGTACGGTGCTGTTTGAAACACTGGCTTGGCTAGACCCGGCTGGAATTCCTATACGAACTCTGAGCTCTAATGTATGTAGAAACTGCAGCATGAATTTATTGTAAGTGAGGATCATCCATGAACTTATGACCTGGTGCATGCACTGCAGATGATTGATTATGTTAGTTATCTCATGACAGATTTATTTTTGGTCCTTACAAAGAATTCAAATGCGGGTCGAAGCAAGTAAGCAATTTGGTCAAATAATGGTGAAGCCCGGACGACGAATCGCTAGATCCCCCTATCAGCGTGAATTAAGGTTTTCATTCGTCGGACGATGCTGAAAAGGCATCCAAGATAGGCAAAATCGAAACACTTGATTGTAAATCCCCGCAATCTCCCCAGATTTGCCTGAACGAGTTGATACCACTAAGACATGCTGGTGAATCATATACCATCACTCGGTGAGTGTCAATAATGTGCACTTTCTTCTCAACGCCATCAGATTGTGATAAATCGCTCAAGAAGTATGCTTTACTATTAAGCTAACCAACGCTTAATCCCCATTGAGCAATTGCTGCATGAACTAATGAAAACCTACCCTCAATTGGTTCTGTATTACCTTGACTGTGGGTTATGCACTTGGTCAGACCCTGGCTTTACCATTGATGATCACGAGTCAGTGAAACGTCACCACGTCTGTGATTCCGCACCGGTAGTAGGACTACTCTAACTGTCAAACAGGAATCGTGTGACCCTATGTATCACCTTCTCGGTGAGATAAATCTAAAGAATGTACTAAAAAAACGTCAACAGCTGAATATTACTTCTTTCCGAATCACAGTTTCTCACTCTCCTTGTGGCGTGCTCATGTCAAACAAAATAGGCAACCCTTCCCCGCGTACTTTTCACCGACCTTTGGTCTCAGCCCCGTGGCGGGAAAGGTTGCTGTTTCACCCGAGTCTCATGTTACAGTCTCAGGTTAGTTACGGCTTGGCACAACCTTGCGCCACAGCTGCTGCATCCCATTCCAATGTTCGGTATTAGTTACAGGTCATATACTTAACCACGCATTCTTTTGCACTTGCGGATAGAAAGGGAGGGTAGGATCTCCTTACTAGCTTGATTTTTCTCGAGGGTTTCATTTAATCGCTCAGCTCAGCTACCAAATTTGCAAGTGTACGATAGACGTTCATGGAGCACATTAGAAAGAGGGATATTGGGACACTTGGAGAGCGGGGTACACACATCTTTCTGTCTATCTGTTAGCATAGCTGCAGAATTATACGATTATTTTCAGCTGTCTATTAATACTGCAGTGGAGATTTTATGTCAATCACCGAGTGAGAAGGTGGTGTACGAACGCGGATTGGGATTTCCCCGCAACTAGATCTGCTGGAGGAGACGAGATCTACTGTACGTACAGGACTCAGTCAACACTCCAAGCTCTCGGGTCGGTCCAGACCAGGCTTCCATGGGTTGACCAAGCCAGCGTTAGGATTCAACAGGCTATGTAGGTCGGGTCAGACGGCCTCACTATCGTGAGTTGATCCAGGTGGAAGCGACACTCGACCCAGTCGAGCCCGTTGGAGATACTAAACTCAGTGAGCTCCTCGAACGATAAAAAGTACATACTGATAACATTCCAGGGGAAAGTCATGTATCCGTTCTGCAACAGACAGTGATGTAACACATTCTGCACCTGACTCGACCCGAGGTACTTCCTCGCCACGAATAAAAAGAACCGAGACCAGATGGACTCCGAGATCTGGAGTCTGTAACAGCTTGCGCTTGGACCCCTAGGCGTTCCCCGCGCTGTTATGGCACTTCTCGTTCAATGCCCTCCTCTGCTGGTGGGTTCCCATTGAAGGATGATCAGGTGTGTTGATGGAGAGAAAGATGAATTAGGAGAAGAAAGTAAAAGGGACCTTTCTTCTGTGGCTCATACTGGCTACTACATGTAGTTCTTGACACAATTCCCCCGGCCGGCTAGCGCTGTACCGCCTAAAAGGCAACTTAGTTCCCCACTAG